TCGAAACTCGCTCCTTAATGTATGAGGTAACTACATACTAATAGGACTTGTTTATTTAATATTCACGTTTTCGCTTTTGTCACGCACAAATTGTACGACGACGTAAACAATGCAATGCCAAGTATCCAGCATAACAAGGCCCTTAAATCGAGCACTAGGTCGTCGTAACAACATACCAGACTACAATTTTGTAGCGATGCTATAGACCGACTAATAGTTATGTTAACGACTAAAAATTCATTTTTGTTTCAACAGGAAATTGCACCTTATCCACGCTTGATAAAATCTAAGCACTCCGCCAAGTAAAGCATTTTAATAAGAGATATTTATAGTATGTCTCTTACAGTTGAAATTAAGTAATGAAAAAAACTTTCAAAAATTTCTCACAGACAGCGCTAGGGCAAAAAAGAAAGATCTGCAACGAGGCACATAGAAAAATCTGGGAAGTAAGCTGGTTCGTGCTTTAGCTCAGCTGGGAGAGCGTCGTGCTGAAGGCGCTGATTTGAATCCAGCGAGATCGAAGGATTTTTTAGTGTTCGATCTTTGTATTAATAATTACAACAAACTAGTAGAGTAAAAAGTAGATTAGTAGAGTAGTTCACAAAAAAATAATTGAATATCAAGGTAGTAAAACATCGCGATATTCAATAAACCGAATATTACAATGAAAAATTTCCTAAAATTATTTTCCAATAGCAATCTAGTTAATATAAATAAATGCAAAGTTGACTAACTTAATTCATTACGTCATCAAAAATAATAAACATCGATATAAATAATATTCCTATATACGTAGCATACCGAATGATATGCAGAATAGCTAGTAGTAGTATAAGATGAGCATAACTAAAATTAGGTTTAGGATTATACATTTTTAAATTTTCATGTTGTATTATAATAATATTACAAATAGAGATAAAAGAAATTTACTAAACAAAAATCGGCAACGAGCACGGAAAAATTCGTACTCAATTTTTATACGTTGTAATTACAGAATCTTAAAAAAAGGACAACTCATATTGTCCTTTTTTTAAGATTCTGTAATTCATTAACATCTCAATGTTATAATAAAATTCCGGTTGGTATTCCAAATTTGCCAACTACGAGGTTTAAAATAAAAACTTTATACTAAAGGTTATTACTTATTATACTGCTTCTGCTTACTTGGATGACAACAATCCGTGGTAGTGACCAGTTTAGTTCTTGCAGGTAGTCTCGATCGAAGATGTTTGAAATGAATATTGTAAATGGTAAATGTTTTTTTTTATATAAAATATAAGTGCGCATTTGACCTCCATCTCACCTGACAGAAAGTGACGATGAGGTCGACGATGGAGCATAGGTGTGCACTTAAATAATGCCTATTCGCTCTCGCCTTGAAAAGGCCCAAGTTATAACATTCAAGGAGCAAGTCTGCAGGCCGGGAGTTCCACTCCATAGCTGTTCGCTATATAAATGTGGAAGCGTAACGCTTCGTGCGAATCTTTGGAACATCCACAACATAGGGGTGGACCTAGTCCCCAGTGATGGAAAGGAGAAGGCGGAATTATATCGTGTAATTCCATCGAACACTTTCCGTGATATCTCCAGTAAAATACCGATAAGCAGGCAACTTTACGGCGGCGTTCAAGGATCTGCAGCTTCGCCTCCACTAATTCCGTGCCACCTATAAGCCCCTTGGCACGATTGTCAATTGAATCCAAAGTGGCTAGTTGGTATGTAGCAGAGTCAGCCCGAAGGTGGCAGCAGTACTCCATGCACGACCGGACTTGTGCTTGGTACAGCTTAAGCAACTGTATGTGTTCAAACATATATTCATTAAGAGCATCCCCTCGAGTTTCTTGCTCATTCTTCTCAGGGGAATCTGCCTTACGAATGAGCAACAGCGTATGATCTTCTTTACAACCACAGTATGATGAAGGCGCTGGTTTGAGTCTAGCCGGATCGAATTAATTTTTGTTTGTGTTCCATCTTATAATTTTAATTATAATAAAATAATAATTTATTTCAGATAATTAAAAATCCATATACTTTGTTTATTATACAACCACTTATTAACTAATGTTAGTATACTTATATTACTTTAAAACTACACACACAACACAATAATAACTGCTGTACCGGTCTGGGAAAACTTCAACCCTTTACAGTCAGCTTCACCCAATGATTCCATATAGGACAGTCATCTGTCTGATAATACTTTTTACTTAGTTCCGCTAGTTTCTCTAAGGCTGAGTATTCATAGCCAAAACATGCGTCAAATTTCAAGCATTCGCATGCAAATCTCGTCCTTCATTACAATTAGGCTTGACTGTGGAGAAATACCATTGTTTGTGTGGTTTACCTAACACACTTCACTACGGTTTCCTTATATAAAAAGTGCATTTAACTCGCGGAAGTTATTCTTACTTTAACAAAGTATTGTAAATACTTTTAGGTAGTGAGATATCTGTTTCTTAGAAAAGGTTGACTAATGTTGCTAGCGGTTGTTTAGTTGGTATCAATGGCAGTCTTTCTTAACAATCGTACCTTTTTGTTCATATTTTTATCAACCCATTATAGTACACACTTCTAGGCACGTATCTTCTCTGCGGGTTGGAATTTCACACATTTTCCAAAGTATGTGTAGTTTATTCGACGTACTGGCTATTCACAAATGTGAGTGACTTACAAATTAAAGTCCAAAAAAGCCACCTAAGTGATGGATTTGCTAAATGCCCTGGATTCAGTTGAAAAGAATGCCAAGAGGCTTATAGGTGACTTGGAATTAGTTGAGGTAAAACTGCAGAGCATTGATCACCGCCGTAAGGTTGCCTGCTTACCGCTATTCTACAGAATATATCACGGAGACTGTGCGAGGTAATTGCACGGTTTAATTCCGCCTTCCCGTTTTCATCATCGGGGGACTAGATGTAAGCTAGGGTTCCACCCCTTTGTTGTGGATATTCTAAGGCTTCGAACGCAGCGTTTCGCTTCCACATTTATATGGCGAACGGCTATGGAGTGGAATTCCCTGCCTACAGATTTTTTAAATTTATTGTTGGATTTATAAGGTATTTTTGAATAGTATGATTGTAACAGATTATATTGGTAAAAATAAAACTCCCTTCCATTCCTAGGATTTCCTAAACGCCATAACTTGGGCTTTTTCAAGAGGACAGTGAATAATGCGCACTTATTTTTTTTATAAAAAAAATGCCATTTTATTTTTACTAATACATTCTATCACAATCTTCCTATTCAAAAATACCTTACAAATCCAACAATAATTAATGAAAAATACTACACAATTGGATAATCAACACCGTCAACAATAAATAAATGCCATGATTATGTTAATGTGCACATGTTCTCACTGTAATCAAGTGTGATCGATCGTGACATGTGTCTAGATACTTCCGCGTACAGTTTAGTTGTCAACCCACGTAGGTTCCCCGAGGCTGCATCATCACAGTTCTAGGTGATGATGGACAATTTTTATTCCTTAACAATACGAGTAACATTGAACGAGGTTGAAACATCTGTTTTTAACGCCGTGTATTTCCTTGTCTGCATCCGACCGTGCCCAATTAAAAATTTAGGTACAAGATTAATTAAGTGCAGACGTAAACGTTATTATTTCATCTGTCAAAATAATAACAATTGAACGCGGCGCACTACAGAATTAATTTAAATTAAAGGGAATATACTAATATTTTGTTTCACATGCACAGGTACAACTTTACATCATGCAATGAGATGTAAGTACTTAGTCATCAAAATATTTTCGCGCCTCCATTCAGGATTAACTTAAGTTTTTTTCGAATTTGTGATTTTTTTAATTATAACTCTTTCCTAACGTGGACCTTGTACGTTCAAGATCAAAGTAATTTAAAAAAATGGTAGTTAGTGACAAACTTATTTATGTACTTGTACAATACTATTTATACTGATTATGGCCTGCTTTCCATGGCATGACTACACACGATTAATGTAACTCTTATATATTTCCATATCTACGGTAGGTCCATGGTGTACATTGCTCCATCTCGGCCTTCAGGGCTTGGTTAGCATCTATTGTTCAACAAATTGCTGACTGTCTCTAATTCGGCCGATCCTATTGTTTCCCAGCGACTGCCCGATTTTATGGATAGTGCACACACGACCGCTGGCGGACGTTTCAATGAAAACATACTGATTAAAATATCATTAAATTAAACTTGGTTTGAAAAGTACACTTTTACTGCAACATATATTTTTTCCTGATAATCCGAATATTAAGACTATAGTCATGTTTTCATCAGAACAATGAGTAATTAGTGTAATATAATGATATATTTAGGTACTGATTACGTTATTGTTAGTTCCACCAAGTGTTCCTCGGCGTCCTTGACACCACCTCTAATAAACAATTGTTGCAAACAATCCAGACTCCCACACTCTGCCCGCGAGTTATGAATCTAATGCTTTAGTCTACCAGCTTTTGCCTTAATATATAGTAATATGCTGCCAGCTACAATGCTACACAAAATGGCAATAACCAAAGTATTAAACGAATGTCTTATACTTATGAAAAGTCCTTCTTTTCAACGTCTGTCTCAGAGTGATGGTCGCAGTGGCAGTGCCCCTCTAATCTTAGCGATTTGAAGCTGTGAGCGGTACTGCAACATTTATGGATAGGCGTGTCCTTACCATCAGACGCACGACTAGTTTGTCCAGTCACTTGATATTACTTAATTACATGCATCTTCAAATAGGAAAATAGTTTCTGGAAGAACCAACTTCCCGCTTATTATAAAACAAATAGGTATACGAGTTAAATTACTTAATTATTAATACAGGCTAATTTAGTAGTAATCAAAAAGAACAGATGAGCAAAATTAATGAAGAAAATTCAAATTTTATAGCATAGCTGCTAATGCACGTAGCTAATATAGTTAATAAGCCTAAGTTTTCGCGATTGTTACACATAGGAAATGAAACTATTTTTAGCCTAATTTGGTTCACGTAAATCATTACAGGTATGCGCGTGCTGTACCCTAGCCGCGTTGGACGGCTACAGCCCGCAGCAGGACCCTGACCAGTTCCACATCCAAACCGACGAAGACGACGAGCGCTACTTCCTGTACCAGACACACAATGGACAGTATCGAAAGGAGAGGAGACTTAAGGATGGATCTGTTGTTGGTTAGTATCATCTATTTTTTAGACGTAAGCCTATCTAGGTCGTGAAGCTTCCACTTCAAAATAAACGTTTTTGACCTCTCCCAATTACTCACTACACAATATTCGTCATCTCAAAGTTCAAAAAACTATCACAGCTTACTATCTTACAGATTAGTTTTTTATAAGTAGGTAGGTAGAAAAATCTTGAGACCTATACATAGCAGTGGGTGAAATCAGGCTGTATATGAGGTAGGTACACTAAGAGGCGTTCCCATAATGCCGTAACGTTTTATTTGTCGTTAGACCGTCTCGTCTAACCTGTTCCCATATCACGACTATCTGTTCTGACTGTGTCGTGGACGTTTATTTTATCGTTGAACAACTCTCGTGTCTAGCTGTTCCCGTTAGATCATGACGACAATTTATCGGTCGGCCTGTCAGCCGCCTTGTCGTTTATACGACAGAATCGTGCAAGCTGCGATTATCAGTCGCAACATTTTTATCGTGACGTTTTATTTATCGTCTGACGACTGTCATTCTACCTCTTCTCATTGTCACGACAGTCTGTCGTCGTAACGTCAAAAAAGTCGTGATCGACAGTTAATCGTGTTGTACTATATGTGAACAGCTTCATTCAAATATCCAAGCCACGACACTGTAAACCGCACGACTATCTGTCGTCATGACATAATCGGAACGCGCCATACTTTATGGCATTGTCTTGTAATCTCAGTTTCTGTGTTATCCTAAAAGCCCTTGATATTATAGCTTTGTTTATCTTAATGCTGCTATTTTTATACTATCAATTAATTACGTAATTACATATAGATTGATAAGTTGTATTTAGTTCTTTCACTTTCTAATTATTCTCGGTAATAAACTCGGACATAGGACTTACATGAAATGAGAAGTACATGTTACGGAACAAGCTGGTAAACCCGTAACTGTTTGGAAAACGATTTGTAACAATTATATAAAATAAAATTGTTACTTTCCGTTAAGTAAAAATGTTACATTGCACCTGACTTTCACTGATTTCCTAATAAAACTAAGTGTTAATTTAATATTGCCATAACAATTTCAAAATAATTTCAGGATCTACGGGTTGGGTAGGTGCGGATGGATATTTACGGTTACAAGACTACATTGCAGATAATCAAGGCTACAGAATCTACAAATCGAAAACAGTTTACGTTGGACAAAACCGACCCATTGGTGTAGGTATATTTTGCTTAAAATATTGGCACGTAACGCAAATTCCTAAACTTAAATCAATATACTTTTGCTTGCAGGAGTCATTAAAAATAGCAAAAACAGCACCAACAGATTCTGGCTTTGGAGTAACGCCGGCGCCTACACCAGCGGTACCTATTCCACGAGGACATTCACGATTTAGAACTACAACACCTACTCCCAATATACCCTCTACTTACCTATCATTACATTTCCCCGCCGAAGTTGCCATCACACCATCCCCTCTATCACCAACATCAACACCACGTGTTTTCGTTTCCCCGAATTCCGTAGATTCTTCCACAAAATACGACTTTAGGCCAACTGTATCGCCTATTACAGCCAGTGAAGCTTTACCTTCAACCAGTCCTTACGATTATGACTCTTCAAATACAAACACAATTGACGACGGTTACTATGGTAGTGACAGCTCTCCGTACAGACGATATGACGTCTATAATCCTAATTCTTATCGCCATGCTGACGACTGGGTCCGCAGGCAGCGCCCTGGATTGCGCCTAGGAGATGGCTACACTCCACAATTCGCAGGCTACGATGGTGTAGCTATTAGACGAAACGGCTTCCGTTACTATCTCCCAAAACAGTACCATGAAGAACAATCCGGAGATTCAGATGACAAAACAGGAAGTTTCGGCTATATTGATCCTTTTGGTATCCGACGAGTGATATATTATAATTCCTCTCCCGGCGGAGGATTCCAAGTGCGCAAAAATAACAGATACGTCGGGCATAACGCGACGCCTTACGATCCTAGACCTATAGATTAACGTAGAGCAAACAATTTGTGATAATGTGAAATTGGAAGTTACCTATTTATTTATCAGTATTGCTAGTGCACATGAACTGCACTTTCTTGGAGACAAAACGAATATAATCGAACGATGCGAAAACTTCTTAGCCATTAATTCATTGTAAGTGTAGAGTTAATATTTATCTCATGAAAGACGCTTCATATTTTAACAACACTTAGTTATAGTATACGTCTATGAATGCTTTGTACAGTTAAACGATTTTGGTTTTGAAATGTTTCTATTTTTATCTCTAAGTAGGTAATTTGTCTTTTAGAATATTTACAAAGCTTTAAAACTGTTTCTATAGTGGAACATTTTTTTTTTTCAAATCTCGGTGCCATTAAACCTGTGTATTTTGAGTTGTTCAGTGTAAAGCGTCGTCGTGTCATAGATAACACCATTTCGTACCTCTTCAGTATATTATTATTATTTTTAATAAATTAAACTTAAATGTTAATACAGGTTAATTTTTAATTAACCTTTTATTACTTTTAAGCCAAATTTTGTATTTTCTGGAAAAATTAATACAGACGTCTCATACAAATCGATAATACGTAGGGTGAAAAAAGTTGAAAAAAGTTTTGTATAGAGTCGAAAAATGTGCATGTTTTTTTTTTAATCGTAAAACAGAACTTGTTGTTTTATTAATGGAAATGTCTTGCTAAGAGGTTATGAATTAAAAATTAACCTGTGAATGGAATACTAACATAGTCGAAAGTTAAAAACATTTAGCAATATGCTTTTAGTTTATATGCAGGCAATAAAGTGTCAAATAAAAGATGATAATTTAATTGCATACAAATCTATGCAACATTATTCTGGGGTCATTGAACTAATCTTTGTTTGTCACAAACTACTTTACGAACGTCGAGAGTAAGTACTTAAAAAGCCTAATATGGAACATTTGGACGGCTTTGCACGTGTAATAAAAATAAAGATCTGGCTTAAAATTAAAATAAAAAAGAAAATATATTTTAATTTGCCGCGTACCTTTTAATTTTATGAGGGTGAACCTACACCTAACTACGTACTGCAAATTAGAGACTAATATTCGAAGTAAAGAAGGTTTATTTTAAATACTTGATGTATTTTGCTACTGATGTCCTCTTGATAATTAATTACAAAAAGTTAACTACCAGTGCAGACAATACGTTATTTTAACTGTTAACTAATAGAGTATGTTGTATCTTTTAACTGTTTCCTAATTTTTCGGTGTAAGTTAAAGAGTCATTGCGAATAATTTGCCATTGTTTTGTCCTGTTTCCCATTTATTGTGAAATTTCGAAGTTTTAATGGCAACTTGTTGCTGTGACTTGCCAGTGGGTTTTATTTATAATTTTCTAATGAGATTTCAATGGGTCTTGTACTTTTTATTTAACATTGTGTCTTTCTACAAATATATATTTGTTTCTTTAACTTACCGATTAAGAGAATCTAAAGAGTATGTTTACTAAGGTTATTAAATAAGTATATCTGTTAATGACTCCGTGTTTTATTGGAATTCATTCAAATTATTTTAAAATATTTCAGTACCTCTTAATTAATTGGATTTTAATTAGATTAATCGTTACCTACCTAATAACTTCTTTGTTTTAACAACTCCCAGTTTTGTTTCGTAACAGTTGATATTTTATTATATAAACGTGAAAAATATTGAACAGTATATTAAATGAAAACTACACACGAAAGGTAAACATTCTTGCTTTCTATGTTTCTAAAAACTATATAATTAAATGTCATACTTTGGTGCTATAAAATTGTTTTCTACTTTGCAGTATGAAATTTGCGCTGACAACGTGTTTGTTGCTGGCCACATCAGCGTTGGCCTCTAACATTGACTCTAGTCGTCAGGAGTCAGTGCAGCCCATCGATTACAATGACAACCTTCACTTGAGAAGCAATCCCGCTGACGGACATATCTTCTTCAATTATCAGCAGCTGCGACTTGACCAACCCCCTCAAGTGGACATCAGAGATGAAGAAATCGCTCGTTATATGTACAGAGCTAGGACTACCCCTACCCCCGGTTATCCAACTACGTCGATTCCGGTAGAAGAAATCAACTTAGATTTTTTGCCGTTCAACAAAGTGCAAGCGGAGAAACGCTTCCCATCTGTAGACATATGGCAGCAACGACAAACAACGAGACCACCTCCGCCGCCTCCAACGACCCTAAAATGGGAACAGTTTTCTGATAATTTCCAAGTAGACAATCAAGCGCAACATAGTCCGTCACAATGGGCTGCTCAATTTCAAGCCCAAGCTCCATCAACGGTAGCACAAGCATCGCCGACCTTTGCTCCCATTGTTGTGCTTCCAACGAGACGTACGCACGAAGCCTCGACTACTACTGTGGAACCACGCATGTTGCAGGAAGAAGTGCGCCAACCGATTGCGCACGCATGGCAGGAGACTCGTCCACTCGGGGCCAATAGAGGAAATCACAAATTTAGCTGGGACGATGTTTTATTGCCACTGCCACCTCCTCAGCGAAAAGTAGATACCCTGACCCGCGCACCTACTACGACTACTGCCCCAACCGCGCCTCCCGCGCCATTTGGTCCCCGTGTGTATGTGTACCCTGGTGGTCTCCCCCCAGCACCCCCTACTTTAACATCGTGGAATGGCGATAACTTGCGTTAATGGTGACTAACAATGGCTTTAATAAAGAAACATCGCATAACGAGCATTATTTTATATTTTTTAATTTTTTAAAAAGAAAACCAAGGGTGGCGGTGATTTTCAGTCGTTCTTGTATCAGCGTCAGTTTCATATTTTTTTAATATTTTTTTCACTAGACAATAAATTATAGAGTTTATTAATAAAAATCAATAAAAAATCATAGCATTTATTAGATATCAGCAAATTACACGCAAAATCTTCTATATTGTCTAATATGACCGATACACAATGTACCTAGAACCTTGAGGTGAACTCCCGAAAATTGAAGACAAGCCAGGAATGTTGAAGTTCGAGAGGTTTGATAGATTGAAATTAGAAATTGACGGTAAGTTTAGATTGGACAGGCCTGGTATATTAAAGCTAGATAAATTGGGTAGAGTTGGCAAAGTAAAACTAGACAAATTAGGTAAACTCGGAAGACTAAGGCCAGACAATCCAGGTATTGAAGGGAATTGGAACGCTGGTATAGAAAAAGGTAGCCATGAAATTAAGGATGGTGCGGGATCTTCCACTCTGATGACGAGAGGTTTCACTGCTTGTTCCAGTGGCGGAGGAACTTTGATTTCTTCTGGAGAAATGGGTTTTTCGGGTTGAGATTGTTCGTCGTGATTTTCAGACGCCTCAGGCTTGGCGTCATTAGCGTCATCGTCCTCAGATTTTCGGTTCTCATTGTTGTCGTCTTCTTCAGGCTTTGCATTGTTAGCGTCGCCTTCCGAAGGTGGTGCGTCATCGGCATCGACTTTATCAAGTTTTGCGTTATTGGCGTCGTCTTCCCCAGGGGCGGAGCGTTCAGCGGGTACAATCTCTGCAAAGCCTTTTTTGTCTTCGTTGGCTATACCATAATGCAAAGGTGGAAAAGCTGGAGCTTCTGGTACAGGCTCTACGATTACATAACTTCCGGGTGGAGTTGGGTCGGTAAGTACGTAAAGATGCTGTACAGGTGCAGCAATTGCTGCGCCAACAGCTAATAGTACGAGGAATAACATCTGCAGGACAAAATACGCAAGTACAATGAAATGTATACGTAGTGAAATTGAAATTTGACTTCTTCATAGAAACATTCCACTGAAATCATAAAAATTTTAAAATTATAGTCATAAATATGTTTTTGTGAAGAAATGAAGATTATCATTGTTATTATAGCAAACGTTTAATAATGGTTTAATAGATAAATTATTATAATAATATCACAAATTGTTAATTTTTATTTGTATTTTCTAATTTTGTGTACATATTACTGCAGGTGACTATACAATTTGCAGAAATTGCATTCTCACTACCAGCGAATTTGAATCATGATTATCAATTCTCAATTTGCTAATCACCAGGCCAGTCTGAGCGAATAGTCATTTCAAGATTGTACGAACGCGTATGTTATAAAAATATTAATATTTTATCACTATATAGTAAATAGCTCTTATTAACCGTAACTGTTATATAACTAAACTAAATAGTATCTATATATACTTCACGTATACATAAAGGTTACCTACAGAGATAGTGAGAACATAATCTTTGTATTATTCGCGGGGAAGTTTTAAATTTTTACATTGCATTCCCGATGCGATATGCAGAGAACTATAACTATATTTACTTACCACTGCCTTGTTCTTAGATAATACTTGACCGGACAGAACTATCAAATTCAATCAGAAACCCTTTATATACCGTCAAAATATCTATTAACTTAATAGACAAAACAATAAAGAAAAAAATATTAATTTCACATTATTAGGTTACAAAGTCCAGCATACCTCGTCTTTTCCACACTTACCTAGTAAAAGGTTAACAATTTTTTATGCTCGTTTATTATTGTAAATGTTTAGGAAAAATTTAATTCTCTAAAATGTTGTTTTATTCGACTGCTTAGAAAAAATAATTTTATACCTCAATTTGGTTTGTAGATCCTAATTTAAAAAAATTATAAATACGCACATATTCAACATATATGTGTGTGCGTATTTACAAAATATCTGCATAAATGATACCTCAAAAGAAGCAGCAATAACCAAACATGTTTTTAAAAATGTTACACAAAAAATTACCTCACGGTTTTTTTAATGTCATCAAAAATCCGGTTTTTTTGTTATTTATTCAAAATTTTCGTAAACTTCAAACGTCTGTAAAAAAGATAGCACACGACACAGATGCTTAGAACATGATTTATTACATTCTGTATACATTATTTTATTGAAATAAGATAAAAAAGAATTGATTTATTATTTAAACTGGTCATTATTAGCAAATAACGTTCCAATTAATTATTGGCTTTTTTAAAATTCTTAAAATTTAGGTAAAAACAAAATTATAGACTTCGTATAAAACAACCATGTCTGAAATGCTTCTAAATAGTCTATACTAGCTGCAATGTAAACCTTTGCACCCATCTTACAAACACCCTTTATGATTAACCTGTACAGCATTGAAGTTTTTGCCAAACTTTAAAATAAAGCTTACAAAAATATTGAGTTAACTATAGTTAAGGTTGTCTATAGTGTGATTGTATGCGTATTGTCATCATCATTATCTACAGTCCAACTTCACCCACTGCTAGGTACTGCTGCCAATAATTTGTCATCCAGTCTGACCTCGTGCGGATCTCCGCCAGCGCCAGTGCCCATGCAGACACACGATTACAATGGAATATTTACGTAGGTATGTACTTATGTACTTGTTGCATATGGAAGTACTAGTTGAGGATACCATACTCAAGATCACTCAATATGTTAAACAAAAAACATATACATCTTTTAATGCCAATTCATATATTTAATGTAAATCGTTGAAGAATCACTGAGCTAGGACAGTTTCCGGAGAGATGGGCAGATGGGCTCCCTGCATGACAGAGCCGTTCGGGCCAGCCTTGTACGTGGTCGTAATGGGCTTGCCGTCATCGCCGATGTAAGTAGTTTGGCCTTCAACCGCGAGAACGTAGCCACTACCCTCAGCATTAGGTACAAGGTAACCACGCTCAGATACTATAGTACCCTCAGCGGTGACGAAACGAAAAGCGTACTGGCCATAGTTGTCGCGGATCTCTTCATGCTTCAAAGCTGGAAGATTGCGTCTGGCCTGCTCAGGACTAATGGGTACCGCCATGGCGTAGGAGATAGCCATCACAACGCAGAATGTAACGAACTGTAAAAGAGGAAAATATTCAATTATAAAAAAATCTCCAAAACTAACGCATATCTAAACAACACCAGTTGTACCATTGGCACCCAAGACGTTTTTAATGATATAATAAGTATGCATTAAAAAGATGTAAAAGAAAAAGCTGAAACCTGTTTCGAAACATAGTGGCATCTATAATTTGAAGAGAGTAACAAAGAACTCTAGTAGCAATAGAGCTCCTTGTGAAAGAGTTCGTCCAGGGAAGTACCGCCACCTTACCTATTTCTGCCGCCAAGCAGTAACGTGAGCATTACTGCGTTTCGATTTTGAATGGTAAGGGCGCAGAGGCAGTACCCCTCAGATCTTTGAAATTTAAAGCTTTGATTGGCAACAGTTATGGACAAGTGTGTCGCTTACCACCAAGTAAAAAACTCAATAAACTTAAAATAAGGGAATCTATATAAAGTACAATTGCAAAAACTTACCGTATTCATGGTGGTGATTAACAGATGATTGCTTGAAGACGGAAGGATGACTGATGCCCTATATCGATTTACAACGGCTTAAATACTAAGTTGTTTCACACTACGAAATATAAATAATAATCATAAGTTACTATTGGCGGAAACTTGTTAATCTAATGAGTAGAAAGTGTAATTCATTGTTTGTTTGGTACCATAATCCAACAAGTAATTAATTCATATTCGTCACAGACCTGAACTACTTTTTGATATTAAACACGATTATGTATTTTTTTATTGTTCTAGTTTTAGAGTAATTAGATCAATTAGGTGTCAGGTTTAAAAAATCAATTTATAGTTTATCGGATAAGGCAAGATTTACCTGTTTCACATTTTTAACTATATATATTGAGGCGAAAAGTTAATGCGATACTTGTCACCGTGAACTTATCCAACTAGCATCATGGTAAGTAAAATCTAATACATTATTTTAAGAAATAATTTATGTGACGACTGACGAGTGATAACTTTTTTATTTTTTTATTGAGTGACATGGTATATTTGTGACTTTCATTCCTTTGTTAGCTGCTAACTGAGCAACTTACAACGCCCTTTTCAGGCGTGGTAACTTATACGCATAATATACATTTTTATTGTATTATATTTATTTTACAGCATACTCAGTTTTACACTTTACTGAGTTGTAAAATTAAGCGCATTGATATATATATAATAATACACAAATAGTTAAAAAAACTCAGACAACTAAATATATATACTAATTAGATTTATCGTGAAGTCTATATTTATATATTATAATTATTATCATCATCAACCCATTTCTACGTCCCACTGCTGGACGCGGGTGTCATCTCAGGCGAAGTTTTGGGCCATAGTCCAACACGTTGGCCCAATCCGGGTAGTGTACTTCACACGTCTTCTGAGGGTTGTGAACCTCCTTCGACGCGCAAGTTTCATCACGGTGTTTTCCTTCACCGAAAAGCTCATGGTAGATTTCAAATTAAATTTCGCATATAAATTCCAAAAACCTCAGAGGTGTGACCCCGGATTCGAACCCACGGCTTCTGCTTGAGAGGTGGTAGGTCAAACCATTAGACAACTACGGCTTTTAATATAATTATAATTAATATTCTCATGTTATTAATTATAATTATTATTCTTATAATATATATTACGTAATTATAATCATTATTCTTTAAAACCTCTATCACTATGAAATTCAGTCAGCGAATAGTCAGATTTCAATATAAAAAGTTATTTAATTTTATTATTATATGCTACACGAAATCCCTCACACTTCATGTCTTCCAGTATTTTACCGGATATTTTCATAAATCTGGTGACTACTAAACGTAATATTATAGAAGAACGAATGTGTTCTAAGTAGTGTATCGCGGTTGTGGAATCTTTAACTTGTTTTAAATAGTTCTGAAAAGTAATCTATTCAATAAAACTAATTTACTAATTAATTACCTATCTAAGTAATTACCTATTTGTCACTTCAACGGTAGTACATGTAGTTTAAACATTCTCTTTGTTCTTTAAAAATTATACCTTTTATTTACAATGTTTATTATTTATTTATTTATTTTTTTCAATAACTCTGCCTTCTTTATTACGACATAGTAAATATTATATTTATATATGGCTACTAATTTGTAATATGTACTTATTTATGTTGAACGTAATTATTAAATCATATTAACACGTTGTCACGTCAGTACAGTACTAATTAATGACGTGACAAAGTGTGTTTATGATTTAATAATGCTAACATTATATACTGGTCATGGTAAATAGATGTTTAAGTTTGAATTGTATGCTGTTGGATGTCCTTTTAATAAATAAATGAAGGATTAAGTGCGGATACCCAAGAATGCGGCGCATACAACTCATTTATTTGGGATAATAAAAAAATGTATAATATATGGAATTAAAATACGAATTCTAATGAACTGTATCTTGCAGGTTGGATCAAAACTACTATTATTACTTTTCGGAGCGACAATCGCTTCCTGCCACTTTCTGAAGAATGCTATAATTGGAGATGGATTGAATCACGTACCTTTGATGTATTCTTCCCCTGGACTATCGCAGTTCATGACTCCAATTCTTCCTAGTGGTGGAAATATAATTTACAAGCCACAGTTTATCATTCCTCCTTTAATTGAAAGGCTAATGAGGCCAAAAGCCGATTGTGAAAAAGATGGCTCTAAACATTATATACCTGTCATACCAGACATGGTAGTAAAGAAACCACTTAACCCGAAAGAATTCACTGTCATCGTTCCCACAAAACCTGAGGTTATCATTGAAAATAAACCAATTGTAGTACCTCAACCACCTGTGTTACCACCTTTTACGATGCCTGAAATACCTACATTTGTGGAAGAACCAAAAACGTCGGCTCCCGTCACCGAAAAACATATTCAGGAGAAAAAAGAGAATTGTAAACCATTGGAAATTCCTGCTCCTCCCGTTCTGCCTAAAATGCCCGTGTTCCCTATCCCAGAAAATGTTGACATTTTTCCCGATAATTATCCAATAGTTCCTGTTATATCTGGCATTGAACCCTTACCAGCCCCTGAATTTACTGCCGTTGAAATTCCTGAAGCTCCAATGTTACCACCTTTATCGCTTCCGGAACTGCCAGTCCCCAATCTTACAGAAGTTATTCCTGAAAACAAGCCAGCTATAATCCCTGAAGCTCCCATATTGTCACCTATACCTAACGATCATGTTTCAGATTCTTATCTAAACGAGATCCCTGAGGGACCTACGCTGCCACCCTTTGTTATACCTCCAATCCCTGAAATCCCTATTGTAGAAATGAACCCGGAGGCCCCTAAACCCGAAGCTGCACCAAACAATTGCATTTACGATGTGCCAGAAAGCGTGCCAAATGATAATGATATTCCAGAATTACAACCGGTCGAAATCCCTGAACCACCCGTATTACCACCTTTTACAATGCCTGAACTACCTGCATTTCCACCTATCGGAAAACCCGAAGATATTACTACCGTAACTGAAAATACACACGCAGAGAACAATCCTGAAACCAACGGCAATACACCAATGCCTGAAGAGAAGGAGCCTATGCCAGAACCAGTAACAGAAAATAAACCATTAGAAATTCCTGCCCCTCCCATACTTCCACCTTTGGAAATTCCGGAGTTCCCAGTTTTTGAAACTATACCTATAGAACAAACACCACCAAGTCCTGTCTTGCCACCTCTAGAGATACCTGCCCCACCACCAACTATTGTAGAGGTGCCTTATGTTACGCCGAAAGAAACACCACCGCTCATTTTAGAGGTACCCGAACATCCGTCTGTCACTGGAGTTATATCAGAACCTTGCGACAATAATGAAATAATACCCGAAAACAAACCAATATTAATTTTAGAACAGACGAATCCCGGACAAGGTGTGACAACACAACAAGTAGTGCCTGAAGTTATGGAACTAAACGTGGGTGGTGCGAAAGTGACGATACCGTCTCTTGGATCATTATCTTTCCCAAATTTCTGCGTTCAAAATCTTATAATCGATAGAGCACTTCCATCTATGATAATAGGAGAAAAATACTATGCTGAAAGTCTGGCTCCATATGTAGCAGAGCAACATTCGATGCTCCCCGTGTTTCAATACTATAAACGATAATGACCAGCGCTTAAAAAAAACTTAGTATAAAATAACAACAAGGTATAAATAAAATTCTTTTAAATACATATTCAGATAGTTTTATTACCTACAAGTATATAATTTAAAATTTATGTTAATAGTTGCCTTAGTTTTGTCGCAAATTCTATGTAACTAGAACTAAATAATTAGAATATCTGTATAGTTTAAGATACTCTCGCGCAAAAATTTAATGTTATGGGTTGATCAGGTTTATTGATAAGGTAAGCTCGAATTCCAAGTTCTTCGCCTCCCATCCATTTAATTTCAAACTCACGAAACAGCTGTAAAGTATAAACGTTTATTTTAATATCGGGTATTTATAACTATAAATATGTAATTAGTTTTATACATTATAGAATCAATGCATATTTACCCTCATCAAAGTAATGCAAATGTTCTGTTCAGCCAATCGTCTCGCAATGCAAGACCGGGGTCCAAATCCAAAAGGTAAACTCAAAAATGGATGGAATTTTTCATATTCAGGAGATCCTCGCAACCAGCGCTCAGGTTTAAACTTTAGAGGTTCTTTAACATACTGAGGTAAACGACATGCCAACATATTTTGTGTTACTATTACAGTCTGAAATAACAAACTTCCTATTTACATAATATTCTATAATTATTATATTTCGTGTACATCACAACAAGGTACTCACTCCATTAGGTATTAAAAACCCTTTCAATATAATATCTTTCTGTAAAATTCTGCCAATGCCCACTGAAACAGGATTAAGTCTTAGACTCTCTTTGACGCAACTCCTGACATAGGTTGCTTTTGATAAAATGTCTGCAGTTATAATATAATCTTTCGTTGGTAACAGCGTTAAGATTTCTTTACACAGCTTTTCTTGAACTGCTGGGTTCCGACCGAGGTGATAAAGAGCAAAACTCGTTGAATAAGCCGTCTACAAAAAAATATAAAGTTTTAAATACGCTTCTGTATTATAATAATAGCAAAAAGTATTGTACCAATACGAATATGAGTCTCACAGTATCAATAGATGCCATTAAAATATCAACCATCATGCCCTTAATATCTTTTAAATCTACGTTTGGAGATTGCAGAAATGACGCAATTAATGATTTATCTGTGCAACTATCTTGTTTTTCATAAAAGTCAATTTTCTTCAATAAAATTTCATTTGACACCCTGTGAACAATGAATGTATGTTTGAAAAATATATATCCATGTATGCATACATTAACTTACAAAAATATTATCAGTACATAAGTTTTAATAAAGATAAGTTTCAGAGCATACTTCTCTAAATAATTTTGTGATTCAGCCAATTTCTTGTACAAAGGTGTCTGAAACAGCTTCCACAAAAAACCTCTGTCTAATCTATTTATCCCAATATTAGATCCGAATGCTGCCGCAATAATACTACTACTTCGAGACTTAGAATCCAACTCTGTATGAGAGAAACTGTTGAAACGCTCATTGAAAGCTACTTGACCAATAACTGAAACATAATCACGACAAAAAAGAGCTAGTGGAAAAAAGCAAAACAATTTAATCAACGCACCAAATTCATTTGCAAACCCAAATCTAAACAAGGTTCCTAGTAAAGGTACCTCGTGTTTGCAAATTACATACAGGTTTCGAGTATTTACTTGATACATGTTCATTTAGTGAAAAATCATCATCAACCTATTATTACGTCCCACTGCTGGACACGAGTCTCCTTTCAGACGAGAGCTTAGGCCATAGTCCGGTACACTGGCCCAATGCGAGTTGGGAACTTCACACGTTTTCCGAGGGTTGTGATCGTTCTTCGACGTGCAGGTTTCATCACGATGTTTTCCTTCACTGAAAAACTCATGATAGTTATTTCAAATTGAATTTCATACATAAATTCCAAGAAACACAGAGGTGCAAGCCCAGCATGAGAGGCGATAGATCAAACCTCCTAACTGCCTCCGTGGCCGAACGTTTACCATGCCGGACTGCCACGCCGTGGTCCCAGGTTCAATTTCCGGGTCGGGAGAAATATTTGTACGGCCTACAATTATATCTCTCGTGAGTTTGGGTGTAGTTTGTGTGTCCATGGCATTCGCGACACAGGGTTTCCCTAGTACGGGGCTATGTTAGGTGTGTGCGTTGTTATAAAAAAAACCATTAGGCTACCACGCCTTTTTTAACCGACTTCAGCAAAAGGAGGAGGTTCTCAACTCGACTGCATGTTTTTTTGTATGTATGTTACATGATAACTCCGGTGTTTGTGCACCGATTTTCATGATTCTTTTTTTGTTGGAAAGCGGGTACCTCCATAGTGGTCCCATTTAATTTTGAAGAAAATCATCCACCTCTAAGAGTGGCTGTTCACGCACTAATATTCATTTTTATAAATAGCGCCTAAATTTTATTATAAGGAGCAATTATTGCTCTAATGCTCTATTTCAAGGCGTTTTTCTCTCTCAATATACTTTGAGTAGTGAGAACCGATATGTATTACCTCCTGTGTCAAGTTCCGTATAGCCGCGAACTAGGGGATGAATCCGGGTTTGCGCACTTTCCGGTAACCAATTTCAAAAAAACTTGGCAAATACATGTAATTCCACGTACTTTTGAGGTCAGTTTTTTTAGTACTCTGTACTGAGATTATTTGTTTAGTGAATCTTGACATTCTCTCTCTAGTAAATAATCTTGACTTAAAATCTTATTTTTTTCCATCCTCTAAGCTTAAAATTGACACAGGGAATGTATAAAATGCCAATATTAAATTTCATTGACAAATACGCAATAAGTTTTCAACAAAGCTTACTACTACATACTTTCCAAATTCAATCTATTGAGACTCTCCAAAAAATCTTCTTTACAAGATATGTTATAATCCTTAACATATCTCACGAGCTCTTGTACCACGGCATCAGTGTCGGTTACGTGCTCTTTTACACTTTGAGGAGCGGTAAAATTCTTTTGAAATGCACTTCGTAGACGCCACCATTCTGAACCGTTCCTAAAAAAAGGCAGCCGTTAACACGAGGACATGAACAATTTAAATTGATAAATCAAAAATACAAAATCTAATACCAACTGTATACAATCGATATATAATCTTACAACTACAACTTCTGAGAATATTCGTATATATACTGAGAAAATAGCTCTTTGTATCCCTTGTTAATTGAGAAGCGAGTGACTAGAATGAGAGAATTTGATCTTATGATATTGTATTGCTTAAATCTCACACAATGATCTGTATTGAACCATGATTGGACCCGTTTTGACTAAAGAGCCGTTCCTAAGCCCTAAGGTGTCACACATTAAGTGCTCCTAAAGCTATAGAAACGAAGAAAAAGAATCTACATGTTTTTTTTAAGATATCAAGTGACGGTACGGACAAGTCGTGCGCCTATATAGTGGTAAGCGACACGCTTTTTAATATAGAGCGCTTCAACTATTCGTAAAACGAATTATTGTGTTATATTATTTAATACATTATACTGGTAGTACTTATACCATTTGGTTATTAATTTTTGTTTAACTGGAGGTTCATTATACACATTGAAATTATGCCTTTTGTTGTTATACCTTTTATTGATTATATAGCAGTGAGTGATTATATCCTTAGAAATTATATCAAATGTTGTTACACCAAGTGGATATAGATTATTTGTTGTTATATCTTCCATAACACACCCTTCATATTACATATATTAATAGTTCCAAACATATCAAAAATGATAGAATCCATTATATCCACAAGCATTATGGAACATTTAGAAACAAACGACTTATTATCCGACAGACAATTTGCTTATAGGAAAGGTAAGTCCACCACAGCTGCCGCGCAAAGTGTAGTGGGTTCTATCATTACCAGCTTTGATGATGGGTGTAAAACAACAGGAATTATTTGTGACCTCACAGGGGCGTTCGATGTAATTGGGAATGAATTACTAACACAAAAATTAACTACGTATGGTATCACCGGAGTTGCCCACGATTTATTAAAAGCTTTCTTAACAAACAGAAGGCAAGCAGTTCTAGTCTGTACGGACGGCAAAAAACCAACTCCGCTGCTGGTGATATCACCATTGGCATCCCTCAAGGATTGGCTTTGGGTAATATGTTGTTCCTGACGTTCATCAACGATCTTGCGCACAATATATCTGAGGGCTTAGTAGTTCTGTTTGCATATGACTCTACTGTTATAGTGTGTGCTAAAAGCTTTACAGAATTGGACGAAAAAGTAACATACAAGTCTGCTCAAATCCTGACTTGAGCATTGAATAGAGTTCTGGAATACGACCCTTAGAATCATTAAAGCAAGAAAATATTTATTTACGAAGATAGCAATCCGCCGGTGTTATAAACGTGTGGTTTGCTCAGTCTGTAATGTTCCATAGCTAAATGACTTCTCCTTGCAGGGTACCGATCGTCTTGACGAAACATAGCCTCTATGACCTCTGGCTCGTAAATATGCAGTACTCTTATTCCTGGTTCTTCTCTCACGAAAGGTCCGTAGCGTTTATAATTTAGCCATGCGATCTCGTCTAGACTTTCGGGCTTGTAATCTCCTGAAAAATTAATATTTAGAAGCGAGATTTTTTTTTTTCTTATAATATACAATTAAACAAATTGTACTACGCAAACATAATAATATCAAAAATGTGTTTTTCCTAATATTATATGTACAAACAACTCTAATGATGCTTTTCCACTGGCGATGGCGAGGCGAAACGAAACAATGCGAGACGAGGATTGAAATTTGTATGGCAAAATTTCAATTCTTTCGTAGCGAATATTGGTGGAAATGGTCTGGATTGACAACACGAGAATTCAAAATAATATTTGTTATGAACCGTATTGAACTTTTTACAATATTCTACCACTTTTGAAAATTCAACCACAGTCCTCCACCTTTCCTCGTATATCTGCACAAGTTGTTGTAACTCGTATATAACACCTAGGACAACATATATTAAGCTATAAGTAATATTAAAAACGATTGTTAAATATACATAATTGCATTTAATTATAAGCATGATTCTAAAAGAAATCTTGATCTTATAAATCAAATTAAAATTTTATAACAAAACAAAATGTTCAAATTGCAGCGATTAAGTTTGTTTGTTACTTTTTTTAGGAAGTTGCAGTTACAAAATTACGGCTAAGTAAAACACATACTATAAACCACAAAAAGTGGTATACAGGTTGACAAATAAAATACATTTGTAACAATATTTTTTTAATAAACAAAATAGTAACTGTCCGATTGAAAACCGTAGATAAATGACAAGTAATGTATAATTTGCAAATGAATTTACATGAGTATGATATAATTGTAATATGAATTATGTAAGTAGGTACAGCGGACCTTATCATCTAGATCTGCCCAACGTGGGCGATAACGCCGCCTAGTGGGCGCTGCAGGCCTATAGGAGGGCGGTAAGAGACCCAGAAAAAAAATGGGGGCGTAGTGTAGAGGATTAGGGGGAGATTTGTAATTTCATCTAGGAAGACTCTTAGACACCGACTGAGCTGTCGACTCTCGACTACAACTTGTGCATCAACTAATATTAATTAAGGGATTGCTAAAACTAACTCGGTTCGATATTTCTCTCCGTGAGTTCATATATCTGTCCCGTTTTATTGAATAAATAAAATAAAAATCATGTCAATCAGTCGCTCTATTTCGAATTGAAAGTAGATAAGCAACAAACAAACAAATAAAAAGGCAACAGACACAGTTTCGCATTTTAATAGTTATTAGTATTCCTAGATAAGTAATTTTCGTAGATAATAGACCACGGGCAATCATGTTTTAACAAGTTTTTGTTAAATAACCCGATTTGTGCATTCCTGTATCAATCGGCTGGTTCATAGAATACTTGTTCTTACTTGTTGAGTACGATTGAGCGTCGAATGAGATAAACGAGTTTATGCATGTTTGTCTTATTCCTGTCGGTGCGTTACGCTTATGCAATCCTATATAAACAACGTAATATTTATTTTATATTCATTTGTGATTTCGCGCGTAATAGATAAGCAGTACTTGACTTCAACACTTACTTACGTATTTCTAAAAAAGAAGAGACGGCAATGCTGTGCGGAATATATTAAATTCGGATTCATTGAAAATCCCACAAACCCATGGGTGAAAACTTTGAAGAATCATTGTGCAATCGTCTGAGGACTAGTCAATTCTCAATTCAGCTCGATGAGTCCACTTTACCAACTAATGAAGCATTGTTTGCTGTCTTACGTGAGGTTTATTAAATATGAGAAAATATGTGAAGAACTATTGTTTACTACAAATTTAGAGACCGATACAAAAGGCGAAACCATATTCAATATACATCGGAAAAGTTTTGTGATGAGAAAGAGATTCCCTTGAAAAATATTATATCAGTTGCTACGGATGGCGCTCCGGCTATGACAAGGTGGCATAAAGACTGCATAGCGTACCTAAAAAATAAAATTCCAGATGTCCTTACATTGCGTTATTCACAGACAACATTTGGTACGACTATTTCAATCTTAGAGAATGGAAAAAATTTCAATCACTGCAATATGTCATCAAAGCAGTCAATAAAATCCGTAACAGCTCTTTGAACGATAGACTATTTCATCAGCTTTGTGTTACTAATGACGAAGATTTCAACCGTTTGTTGTTTCATGTTGAAGTTCGTTGGCTACCAAGAGGCAATTGTCTGACTCGAGAGTTCTTGGAAACTAAAGATACAGAATTGCGCAACAAGCTCATTACATCAAAGAATGATATAGCTTACATGACAGACCTGTATAAATTGTTCAACGTCGTGAATCTCCAACTGCAAGGCGATGAACTAAATTTAATTAAAACAAAAAATGTTGTTGCTGCTTTCGCAGCCCAACTGCTTCTACACAAAAAGAATATGGGCAGACGTGAGTTTCACAATTTTCCGAATTTATCAGTATCCTGCAGTAACGACGACTTGTTTGCCTACTGCCAACATTTGGAAAACCCCCACATTGACTTCACCGAACGATACCAAGACATTTTGAACTTGGAAATAACAGACTGGGTGTTGGATCCGTTTTCAAATGTCAACACAGCAATATCACCTCAGCTGGAAGAAGAACTTATAGAATTGACAACGAACGGGGAAATAAAAATCAAGTTCAAAAATGGCTACCAAGAATTTTGGCTACAAAAACCGATCCCGCTATTGTACCCTGGATTGTGGTCAATCGTTCAACGATTCTTGATAGCATTCCCATCGTCTTATTTGTGTGAACGTGGTTTTAGTGCTGTGACAACGCTGCTTACTAAAAAGAGAAATCGTTTGCATGTTAGTGAACGTGGTGTCTTACGGCTGTTCTTGAGTAAATTGGAACCTGATATCAACAAACTTATTAAATAGCATCAGATTCATCCTTCACATAAGTTTTTATATTAAAATCGATTATGTTTGTTTTATTTTGAATAAAAGATACTCTGTCTGAATACTATAAAGTTGCGTTTCAATAATCATTCTCATTGGCAGGTGTAACCCGTAAGAGTTAACTTGAAACCTGAGCGTCTTTGTGTATTACCTACTGCGCTCAGGTCTCAGGTTAACTCTTGCGGGTTATAGTAAAAGTATCGTTTAGAATGAATGTTTAATCTCCGCTAATATAGCTCACAATAATTAATTTAACTTGAAGTTATAGTGGTTTTTAAGTAGGTGAAAAAATGGGGGCGCTTAAAAATTTTAGGGGTTGATGATGTTGCTCGCTTCCGTAGGTTTATCCTTGAGACCCTACAAGTGACCCCTGTGTGGTGCTAAAGAGTAACAACTACCGGTGGTAGGCTACGGCTGTGGCTGGTAACAACCCTCCCGACGCAGTCGAGTCGCCAAATGGTTTACCCGTGTTCCGGCTCGTGTTCGGGAGTTGCCATTAGGAGGACGGGTCTGAACAGTTGCATTGCACACTGAGCACTCAGTTCTGGAGGCTAGCGGGATCCGAAGCACGGTGCACCGCTGGCCGACCGTGGGAAGTTGGGGGCCCAAGTAGCGGGAAAGCCATCCCTGAAAGACTGCCCCGCCACTAAACAAAAAATCCCGGAATGCTCCACCTTGCCGGTTGACGACCGGTGGGGAGGACTAGGTGGCTATCTCTGGGGGGTTCGGGCGTCCCCGCGGTCTCCAAACCGATTGTACCCTCGTGTGGCAATGTGAGTTTGCTGCTTGGTTGGACGACGCAATGCCTCGTTCAACTGCCTTCCTCCTGCCTATTCGCGTCTCCAATTTAAAAAAATGAGTCACAAAAAAGGAATACATTTTTCACAGCGGTTGCACGTCCTCCCATTAAAAGTGCACCTCACCAACATTAGAGGGCTGCACTCAAATATGGAAGCGGTCCACCACCACCACCTGGAAACCGATAAACCGCATCTGCTGTTCCTCACCAAGACGCAGATCAGATGTCCGACTGACATGGCGTACCTCAGCTACCCAGGGTACACTCTGGAGCACAGGTTCCTACCTCGTGCCGGAGTCATTGTGTACGTTCACGATGACATCTGTGTCTAGCGTCTAAAGAACCTTGAAGCACCGAGTCTTTCTATTTTGGGGCTTCTGGTTGACACAGGAGTTCCCAAATAGTATACTGCTGTGTCTACGGCTCGCACAGTGGAGATCAAGAGACAACCAAGCTGTTCCAACATTTGAGCGAGACGTCTGATGAGGCTCAGCTCAGGTATCCAGCGCCGCAACTAGTCATTCTGGGGGACTTTAATGCACACCATCAAAAATGGTTGTTCCCATACCAGATGACCGATCATGCTGGGAGAGAGACGCGAAAACTTGCGTTATCGCTAAGCCTTTCCCAGCTTGTCAGTGACGCCACAAGACCTACTGCTAACAACTGATCCAGACCGACACTCGGTGGTTGTGAATGCACCATTGAGTACCTCTGACCACTGTCTGGTGAAAGCTGTATCCGTATACTCCCCACCCGATCAGGGCCCCAGTGGTACGAGACGGGTGTGGCGATACAGGTTAGCAGATTGGGACGAAATGCGTCATTTTTTTCAGGGCCAAGTTCGATCATGTGCGCCGCATAGGGGCCAAGCTTGCCTCTTTTCCAGCAGGCAGCAAGTCCTTTTGGTCCCTGACCAAAGCGGTCGAAAAAAACTATAGTAGCCACTAATTACCATCTCTGCTGAGGCCAGACGGCTCGCAGGACCATACTGCGGAAGAGAAGGCGAATCTCTTCACCTCACTCTTTGCAGAGAGTTCGCGTCTGGATGCCGCAGGATACCTACCACCTTCTTTATCTCTGACTGGATGCACTATGGCGCCAGTTCGCATACACCAAAAAGAGGTACTTAGAACTCTGCGAAGTCTAGACGTGCAAAAAGGAAGCAGAGCCTATAGTTGACCCTTCTATAGTTCTATAGTTGACCCTATCAACTATAGAACTATCTCAGTCACTTCCATACTCTGCAAATCTATGGAACGTGTACTTAACAACCGTCTCCTGTCGTACCTTGAAGACAACCGCAGTGATCGCCAATACGGATTCCGAAGAGGGCGATCTACTGGGGATCTTCTTGTGTATGCCTCTCACTTATGGAGCGAGGCTATAGAAGAGCATGGCGAAACCATTGCAGTGTCTTTAGACATTTCTAAGGCCTTTGACAGGGTCTGGTATGCAAGCCCTTTAAGCAAGCTTTCCTCTTATAGGGCTTCCCACAGACCTTTGCAATTGGATTTCGGATTTCTTGAGTAAACGTTCGATTCGAGTGGTCTTAGAAGGCTACTCTTCCGAATATAGAACGATAATAGAGTTGCTCAGTTGAGTTCCTCAGGGTTCTGTACTGTCCGCAACCCTCTTTCTGCTGCATATAAACGATATGTTGATCCCAGGTACCTTTGGGTATGCCGACAGGACAGCACAGTTGTGGACAGGTGCTTGACCAATGCAAGGATCAGTGGAGAAGAAATCCAGTCTTGTCGAGAGTCCATGGTTACTCGTTTGAATTTGACACTTAAGGCAGTCTCCGATTGGGGCGATGCCAATCTTGTCAAGTTTAATACTACCAAAACGCAGGCGTGTTTTTCCTCCACTAAACGGAGTCCCTTTTCCCTGACGCCAACCGTCTTCACCTACTTGGAATGGACCTGTCGTCCAATCTGAACTTCGGCAGTTACATTGAATCCGTGGCCAAAAATGCAGCCAAGAAGCTTGACATCCTTTGCAAGGTGAGGCGATACTTCGCACCGGGACAGTTGCTTCAGCTGTACCAAATACAAGTCCGGTCGTGTATGGAGTACTGCTGCCACTTATGGAATGGCTCTGCTAAATACCAACTGGCCACCTTAGATTCAGTAGACAAGCGTGCTAAGAGGCTTATAGGTGACTCGGAACTAGTAGAGGCAAAGCTGCAGAGCCTTGAACACCGCCGTAGAGTTGCCAGCTTATCGGTATTCCACAAGATATCACGGAGAGAGTGCGATGGAATTGCATAATTTGATTCCGCCTTCCCCTTTCTATCATCGGGAGACTAGACGTGGGCGGGGGTTCCATCCCTATGTTGTGGATATTCCCCGGATTCGCACGAAGCGTTTCGCTTCCACATTTGTATGGCGCCATTCTATTTGTATGGCGAGCGGCTAGGGAGTGGAATTCCCTGCCTGCAGACTTGTTCCCCGAACGTTATAACTTGGACCTTTTCAAGGCGAGATTGTATAGACATTATTTAGGTGTGCATGCTACATCCTCGCACCTCATCGTCACTTTCCATCAGATGAGATGGAGGTCAAATGAGCACTTATTTCAAAAAAACAATATATATATTCTCAAAGTGGGCAATAGACAAACTAGGTTTGGGAACCCCTGATCTAGATAAATATACTCTGAAAATGGCTCATTAAAATTACAAACGTAAGTATTGTTTACTACAGGGTTTTCAACTTTTTCGGTGCAGTTTGTAGGCCTCAGTATGTGGCCGTAACCTAATTTTTAAATATATACGAGTAAATAAATACTTACTACTTAAAATACAGTACTTACGGGGACGGAATTAGGAAAGTATCAAGTTAGATATTGATTGTAGTTAACTTACCAACAAGCGGCAAATATTTATAAATAGTCCCTATTATCGGATAGCTTTTAGGACCAGGAATTTCATTAAAACTTTTTAAATTATCACTCGACATACACTTGACGTCGTCGTTTACAACTGTAGAACGAAATCTACAGTCGTATAACAGACGACTTTTACAGTAAAACATTTTTTTGCCTTTTATTGTAGATTTGTACATGTTTAGAACACGTTTAACGTATGGACGATTGCACACTACTGACTTCGTATTACAGACTATGCAGCTGTCGTCCGGGCGAAATAAGATGCGCATTACTTAGCAAACAAAAATAAAAGAGCGTTGGGGAACAAGATTAGTATACATAATAAATCATTCATCATATCTCTGCGCCAACTATACCTACCTACCTGGGTAGACGGGGCAGGTAATTCAAGTAGAAACGTAGCAGACAACAATTTAAAATGCGTAATTCAACCCATGACCATGTTAAATAAAGGAATAATAAAATACATACATGTGCAACAAGCAAATTGTCATTGTGTGTATAAGACCATTGTGTTCAGTACATACGTGAAACGCTGTAACTTTTAATAAAGGGACTCCTCTCAAAATCATACATTATCTACCTACTCAACATAAAATAGCTGTACTTTATACAATGTCAGAGAGGTAACGATTATTATTTTATATTACTTAATTAATAATTAAACATCAACCCAGACTGGGTTGATGAGGTCTGTTTTTGCTGACCATTTAGTTTATTATTCCAGTATTCCATAAACATTTCTTTTGCATGACTTCGTTAGAAAACAAATATTTTGTATGAAACGAACCACGTTCTGTCACTTATCAAAATGCACTGTTTTGACACTTAATAAAATGCGATTTGTTACAGTAGTTTTTAACAAAGTGATAAAATGGAGAGAATTGAGTATTATTTTACTTGATTTCTCTGTCACACACAAATAAGCGGACATTATTGAAGTTACCAAAATTAGAATAGAAGAGGTTATGTTTTTCTTTCCCCAATAACCTGTTTTAGGGTGATTTTATTAGTGTCTCAGTTATAGGTGAAATACGGAAAACTGACTGTGCTCTCTAAAGGTTTCTTAACTTTAGCGGCTACGGCACAGCGAGAAAGATATTACATTTTGTCTACTATACATATACTATTTTTGGTAGTTAACATGATAAAGTTTTCAAGATTATTCAATGGAATACAAAATCAAATAAGATACACAAAATTGTATTTGACTGTGCCATACTCTAATCAACATATACTTGGTATAGAAACCTCCGCAGATGACACAGGGTGTGCAATAGTAAATAACAAAGGAGAACTCTTAGCAGAAAGTTTGCACTCTCAAAATTTGATACATTTACGGAATGGAGGCATTATTCCTGATGTTGCCCAAGACTTACACAGGACCTACATAAAACCAATTGTGTCGGAAACATTAAGAAAAGCAACAATGTCGATGGAAGATATATCAGCCATAGCAGTCACTTTAAAACCAGGTCTACCTTTGAGTCTAGTTGTGGGCATGAAATACGCAAAACATTTAGCAAGACGGTTTAACAAACCAATCATTCCCATCCACCACATGGAAGCCCATGCACTGACAGCTAGAATGTATTACAATATACCCTTCCCGTTCTTGGTCTTGTTGATATCTGGAGGTCATTGTCTTCTGGCTGTAGCACAAGATGTAAACCACTTTCAACTGCTGGGTCAAAGCATAGACAGTGCGCCCGGAGAAATATTTGATAAAGTAGCAAGAAAAATGAAGCTAAGGAACATCTCTGAATATTCAAAGATAAGTGGAGGGAAAGCTATTGAATTAGCTGCATCTAAAGCTACTAACCCACATATGTTTAAACTACCATTACCTCTAGCCGAATATAAAGATTGTAATTTTAGTTTCAATGGATTGAAAACATCAGTACTTCTGCAACTACATAGAAAAGAGAAGCAACATGAAATTATAGCAGACAAATTGATACCAGAGGTGAATGATCTGTGTGCTGCCATGTTAATGGCTGCCTCAAGACACTTGATTCACAGGACACAGAGAGCTATGGAATTCTGTGAAAAGAATAACCTCATACCGGAAAGCAACAAACAACTCATTGTATCTGGTGGTGTAGCTTGTAACAACTATATTTTCAATGCATTAACAATGCTGTGTGATGAAACAAATTACAAAATTTACAGGCCTCCACCCAAACTATGTACTGATAATGGTGTAATGATTGCATGGAACGGCTTAGAAAAGTGGCGCAAAGGACTAGACATAACAACAGATATCAAAACACTAGACATTGAAGCAGTCAGTCCTTTAGGTGAAAATTTAATACCCCATGTAATAGAATCAAAAATTCCCTGTAAGCTAATGAAAATAAAGTTAAATATATAACGTATGTGTATTTTGTTTACTTTTTCAAATCTACAAACACTTTTTACATGAATAACTCATATCATTTTGTAGATATTGCCATGCGGCGCGCCAGATGAAGTGCGATTTCGGAAAGGTAGGTAAGAGCTCCTCCAGAGTTGCTGCGAAGTCTGCACTGCATTAAGGAAATAATAAAACGAATGTTCCTTCTATGGTTTTTTTTTCACTGACAGATGCTTGTAGTGGTGTTCATGTATAAAAAAATATCGATATTTTTTCCGATGTGATATATCGAAATATTGTATCGATATTTTGCGATATATCGGTACAAAAATCGATATTTTCGATATATCGTAAATAATTCAAATGGATAAAAGGAAGGAAGTTTTACTAAGAGTAAATAAGTAAAACCACCAGTTTTAACACGGCAATCAAATGCATTTCTTACTCTCATTTTCTCATCGGCTAGCCGCACACATACAATATTATTGACAATTTAAGTTTATGTATGTTCCCAACACAACAATACCGCTCGCACACAAGCAATATTATTGTCAATGTTAATGTGTGTGTGTGTGTGTGTGTGTGTGTGTGTGTGTGTGTGTGTGTGTGCAGCTACCCATGAGAACATAACCATTACTTTACACTGACGATTGACTAGCGAATCAGCGCTCGAAGTGCGTTTCGTTTCTGCAAGTACAATTTTGAATTGTATACCATCTATCAACTTTGTACGATTTTTCATGTATCGGATAAAATATATCGATACCGAATGATACGATAATATCGGATTGATTCAATGTATCGAGGGTATATATCGATATTTTTTTTAATGTCGATATATATCGAGCACTCCTAGATGCTTGGAATAAGTTTGACAGTATTTGGTCCCATTACCTACACGGTTTGTCAAAATTTGCTTGATAGGTAACTGTCGCTGAATTAATTCGATTTCAATTAAAAACTACTGTATAAATACATCATCACACACCTTAATAGTTGCCAAATGACGCGGGGAGGAGTAGTATTATTACAATCAACGGTGGTTTAAAGTACATCAGTCATTCGAAGATTCAGACATCAAACTGTGCTGTTTTGCGTAAAAATGGATATCTTGGAGAGAATCTACCGTAATGTAAGAACACATCTACAAAACTTACCGGCTACATTACCTAAAACTCTGGATTGTGTGAATAAGTCCATGGGCAAGATAAAATTACCACCATTGACTAAGGACAACATCTTGTACTATTATTTGCCAGTGCAAGGCCTGGTTAGTTACACAACTTTATCAGTAAGTGTGATGAATCCACATTTAATGGTCAGGTAAGTATCGAAATCATTAAATTTTGTTATGAACTTATTCAAGTTCTACACTATAAGACATTCTCTTGGCTTTCAGAATGTTTCCAAAAAGAGATGTGACCGACGTTTTATTCTTGTGCGCGGGGGGTGGCGCTGGTTTGTGGTTGTGGGCACGACCTCACATGGCAGCTGCTTCTCCAGCAAGGCGCTTTTCCTGGGCATTCCTTGGTGGAGTTCTTTGGCCTCTTGGCTCTATTTTCTTGTGGGCAATTTTAAGAAGCTCTGTTGGTCATAGACCAGTTATTGGCACAGTATTAGGTGTAACCACTGGAGCTATGCTCACAAGCATTGCTATTGATTACTTCCGTTATGTAGAGCTGATGTTTTGTGGAGAACTACATATCCCAGAAGAAACATATAGCCCAAACAGTGATGATGAAAAATATGATATTGATATTTAAAACTAAAGATCTACACCGTATTGTAAATAATTTTGGAATATTTAGATAAGCTTTTGCGATATGTGTATGAAGATTAGGTGTTAAGAAAACTAGTTTGAAATTTGAAAATCTACTCTGCACTTGGTTAACGTGATTTTTGTCCTAAGTCTGTCTAGTCTTGTGAAACGTTGATCACAAACGCTTTTAATAAATTGGTATTTATTTTACTGAATTAGTTATTTTATTTCAAGATTACCTAAAATAAATATAAAAATTTTAAGAAAATATAATTTATATGCAATATATCTTTCCATTTCCCATAAACCCACATGATTTAACTCCAAAAGTGCTTATATTGTTATGAAAGTCATAAAAACAACAATTATGTTTTATTATGTAAAATTTGTCCTCTTCTATTTAAGCATAAAAAGTCATTGACTAATTATTATTTTGTTCTTAAAATCGAACTGTCATAAAAAATTGTAATTTTGCAGATGGGGCCCTATTTCACAAAGGACATAAAACCCAGTAAATGGTATGATGCTACATAAAGGGGATTTATATAGCACCACCAAAAAAATTTGTAAGTTACAAAAGATAATTTCCAAAGGATTTAAATTAATGAAAATAAACATTAAATAACTGCATTTAAAAAATTTATTGATTTAGGTCCAGTCAATGAGAAAATTTGTCCTCTTGCCTCCACCAGTGATGTGACAAATGTCACCCACTTCTATTTTTTTAAAGTTGGCGTCACCACTATAAATTCAATGTTTACTTGGCATTCTTTATATTTAAAGTTTGTTTTAAAATTGATATTTTAGGTAGCTTCATTGGCCAGACGTAACAATTTGAAAAATTTTACAATCAAGTTGTGGAAATTTTTCATTTAGTTCTGAGGAGGTTTCGACCACTCTGCATTCAAAATGAGATGGTCATAGCCATGTCCGTTCAGCACCTGGACTGCTTTTGCAGCATCAGCCCGAAACTTGAAATGAACATAAGCAAAGCCCTTGCAATGTCCAGTGCTCTGAAACAAAGTAAAGTTGTTATTAATGTGTTGATTCTAAAATTATATAAATATTCATATAACTATTTGAAACTACATTTCTGATCAACACAGTCATGATTTTTCACAGAAAAAAGAAAGTTAGTGATGTAATTAAAATAAAGGTTGAACCAAATTACTTCTACATGACTTTATTAAGAAATACCTTTTCCTTGGCGAGATACAACTTCTGCACCGGCCCAAAACCCTTGACAAGGTCGTCAAGGTCGGCTTCAACAGTGAAGTTGCTGAGGTTGGAGATACGAATAGCGGCGACGTCATCGCGGCGCGCGCCTGGTGGTTCACGGCCCGTGCCACGGCCTGCACCTCCATCGCGAAGGTACGGCGCCACGTACTTGTTGCTTGGAGCTGCTTTAGCATCTAAGACAACAAAATTAATTGATTAGGCCTGCAATGTTTAAAATTATCTTAACAAACCAATGCAACAGTGCCACACCTTGAATATTTTGTATCACTACTAATGTCATGTATTTGGTCAAAAATATTTATATATTCTTTATTGTACAAAGAAAAGAAACATGAAACACACGTTATAATGGACATATACAAAGGTGAGCTTATCTCTATAAGAGATCTCTTCCAGCCAACCCTAGCCGTGGTGCAAAAATGAAGTCTGCGGGACTAATTGTTGTACAACAAAATTAAAAATTTAAATGTGACTAAAATATAATTGATAATAATATACACACGACAGACATACACACATACATGAACTTTATATACATAAATACATACATAAGCAGAATATATATTATAATAACAGATCATTTGTTTACATTTGTAACATATTTATGTTACCTATAAACTATCTAACACGTTCGACAGGAAGTGCTCTTTTAATTTGTGTTTGAAAGATGCCACCGATGGACTGTCACGAATGTCAGCAGGTAGTTTATTCGACATACGAGCTGCACGTACGGTAAAAGAATTGTGAAAGAATTTGGAGTTGGATTGGGGATATAAAAGAGTTCTAGTGTCACAAGTACGTTTTGGGCGGGAATTGGGGGATAAGGGGGAAAAACGGGAACACAGATAATGAGGAAGCTGGGGGTAATTTAAAATTTTATAAAGAAGACAAAGAACGTGCATATCTCGGCGAAGTCTGATTGGGAGCCATTTCAATTTAGTCCGAAATTCAGAGACATGATCATATTTACGTAAACCGAATATGAAACGAATGGCCAGATTTTGTAGGCGCTCTAGTTTGTTAAGCAGCTCCTCAGTAACATCCAAATAACAAACATCGGCATAGTCGAGAAGAGGGAGTAGTAGGGACTGAGCAAGTATAACCTTGGTGTTGAAAGGTAAGAAGAATTGAAGCCGCTTGAGAGAATGATAGGAAAAGTGCATGCGTCGACTAACCTCATTTACCTGTGGTATTCAGGACAGTGTACGGTCGATTATCAGACCTAGGTTCTTTGTGTTTTCAGCATATGCAAGACTCACTCCATCATACGAGACCTTGGGGAGATTATTAATATCTAACCTGCAGTAAAGTCGGTTGCTACCTACAATTATTGCCTGTGATTTCCTAGGGTTTACAAGCAAACCAAACGCATCAGCCCAAGACTTCACCACAAGAAGATCCTTATTAATAGATTCAATGGCAGATTGGATATTGGCTCTATCAAAATGTCTATAAATTTGTAAGTCATCTGCGTATAAGTGGAATGGAGGAGAAATTAATTTAGTGAGCTCGTTTATGAATAGCGAGAAGAGAAGAGGTGAAAGTACACCACCCTGTGGCACCCCTGCAGTCAAAGGGGACCAATCGGAATAAATGTCATCATTCCTGATCCTTTGATAGCGGTTGCGGAGGTAATCCGAAAACCAGGCAATTGCAGCAGGGGAGATGTTAAGAGAGCAGAGAATGGCAAGGAGGATGTCATAGTCGACAGAGTTGAAAGCACTGCTGAAGTCCAGCAAAACAATAATGGTAAACAACCTATTATCCATGGCGTGACGAATATCATCGGTGACGTTAAGCAAAGCAGTTACAGTGCTATGACCAGGACGAAAACCAGATTGATACGGACTTATAAGTTCATGACGAGAGACATATGAGTGAAGTTGTTTATGCACAGTGCTTTCAAGGACCTTGGACAGGAATGGTAGGATGGAGATAGGACGAAATTGAGAGAAAGCCGTGGGATTAGCGGATTTAGGGATGGGAATGACATGAGCTAATTTCCAATCGCTAGGAAAGATGCTAGTTGCAAGAGAAGTATTCAAAATGTGTGTGATAATTGAAGCAACGTCATCCAGGATAGGTATCAGCATGTCGCGGCAAATACCATCTTCACCCACGGCCTTGGAAGTTATGGAAAGGATACTTTTCTTAACTTCCCCCTCAGTGATTTCGCGAAAAGAAAAAGGTACACAATCAGGATGAGTAGCAGCGCCCAGTGAAGTGAGCGTGCCCGCTTTGATAGAGTCAGCAACAGTAAACGGTGAGTTGGTGAAGTATTTGTTAAGTGAGTTAAGGTCAGGCAAGTCAACAGTACAGTCACGATCTTTACCCACACCAAGTGACCTCAAGAACCTCCAAGTTTGACCCATAGACAAGCCTTCCATCGACGAGTGGAAGTAACGCCGTTTGGCGTTACGACACAGTCTATTGCAGAGATTGCGCAGCCTTTTATAAGTGAGCAAATTGTCTTCACTTGGAAACCTCTTGAGAATCGACTTGGCCTTGTCCCTACGTTTCATGGTTTTCTTTATTGCTGGTGTAAGCCAAGGAGCAGGCAGATGCTTAACACGTACTGGTCTGAGTGGGGCATGAGAATCATACAACTTTATTATGTGATTGTTAAAAATTTTGATCTTCTCATTTACCGTGCTAGCTTCAATCAATGCAGACCAGTCAATATTAGAAAATTCCTCTCTCAAGCGATCCACAGAAATGTATAAAATACCAAAGCTACGCTGAAAAATGACTTTAATTTTGGGTTTGGGAGTGCGTACTCGATAAGACAAATATATGAGGTCATGGTACGAGAATGGGGCAGTGGTTTGTCCATGCAGGAGAACCGATTGAGGTTTAGAGACTATCTGAACATCCAAAAGTGAAGGTTGACAGTTAGGAGAATGATGGGTGGCAGTAAGTGGGAGCAATACGAAGTTCACAGCAGATACAATGGAGTTAAGACGTGAAGACCGAAAGTTATTCTTTAATAAACAAGTATTAAGATCACCCATCAATATTACATGTTCGTAAGAGGCACTCAAGGATTCAAGGGTAGTCTCAAATAAGTTAAAATAGTTTACATTAACACTAGGGCTATAAGTAACACCAACTAAGATATTGGTGTGATGTAAGTTGAGGTCTAGAAATAGGTACTCTAAAGACCCAGTATAAGTGCTAGGAGACTGGCTGACGACGGAGCACGGTATATGACTCTTGATGTAAATACATACACCACCACCACCAGTCCCAACTCTGTCGTTTCGATATAATTTATACCCATTAAGTGTAAAAAGGGGGGATGGTAGAGAGGGTTTGAGCCAAGATTCCGAGATTAAGATTCCATCAACTATGCCGTTGTTGAATGACGTATTTAATTCAGAAATGTGTGCAGGGACACTCTGCGCGTTAATGTGCACCAGGTTAAGGAAATTGGATTTTCCATAAAAAATTGACTGCATCTTAACATCTAGTGAAGGGCCATCGGAGTCAGAAGAAATAGAAATATCACTACAAGCACTTTCAAACTCATCAGATGAGCTATCAGTAAAATAATTAGAGTTTACAGACATAAATATAAATGAATAAATATGTAATTTATAAATAATAAATCAATATGTGTATAGACTAAAATACTTCCTATAAATAAAATAAATAAGCAAAACTAAATTCAAAATTAGAACTGTAAGTAGACTTAAACTATTTAAATAAATTAAAATATACAGAGCAATTTCTAAGGGGTCTTATTCTTTCGAAGTACCCGCAATTTTTTTATTATAATAATTTCAGCGCATAATTTTAAAATTACTCTTGTGGCCACACAATGAACCTCCTGATGTAAAATAAAAAAAAAATAAGTTACTTGTAACAGAAATAAATTTATTAGAAGTGGTTATTAGCGTAGCTCGCGCACCAAGTGTAGGCACAGTTATGCCTACTTGAGCTCAGTTCGCCATTTTCGCTTTGTACGGTATGGTTGTGTCAATTCTTTCGCGCAACTTCTCTTAAATTGTAGAAAAATGCTTTATTGTGCTGTTTTGGAGTGCAAAAATGATACCTGCACCAAAAATATTACCCATGGTGGTATTTCACACCATCTCAGGTAATATTTTCGTAGTCCAGTTACTGGCCGCAAGATGGCAGCACACTGAATAAAATTCAATATAAAATCAAAACGTTGTCACTTGCAATAAAGGTACTGAACTTTCAATGATATAGTGACTAAGTACGTTTAAATTATACATATTAACAGTCAGAATTTGTTACATCTTTTTAAATTAGAAACTATTTTTTTTTTATGCAACCATCATTATCAAGATTTCAGTCATCATTTGCATGTGTGCATTTTGGCGACAATGGTTCTGATAGTAATCGAGGCTTAGGGCACTTCCATAGATTTGTAACTATCTATTACAAATATTCGTTAAGTACACATACACCCTTATGTTGAAGTGAAACCTGTAAAGTACATACCAGCAGCTTTTGCGGCTTCATTAGCTTTATTTTGAGCCATCTGGGTGTGCTGGAAGGGACAACTGACGGTCCAGTGCTCTCCTTGGCAGGTTCTGCACTTAAAGATCGCACTACTGGTCTGAGGCTGAAATCAGGAAGTTACATGTTCAGAGGGCTTCGATGTATTTTTCTAGATGCACATTGAACATTAATACTATGGTAAATAACATATTAGTAGTATGGTAAATAACATGAGCTCTCAAATTATATTTTTGTAATGTCATTAAAATATATATATAACCGTCATTGTGAATAAAAACCGCCGAAGTATTTTAATAACCGGCAATCTATCTCACTACCGCTACACATGTCTCTCAACCCTGACATTGGCAAAATCGTCGCGCAAAACGACGGAGCCATAGACACAAAAGTTGAAGTTGAATTGTGTAATGGGTTGGTGTCCGCAACATGAAAACAGTATGATTTCGAGTAATTTTGATTAAATTGCGTTTTAACTGGTACACAGAATTTTTTATTAATATCATTTATTTTTATAAAATTAGGCAATTTTATACAACTAGCCAATAATTAGAAATTGTCACCTAGTTCAAAATATTGATAATTTATAAAACTTTAAATAATTTAAGCACTACTTTACCTTGAGACCATCAAGATCTCCATCATCAGGCCGCTGGCTCTCTTCTTTACTAGTGATGAATTGCATGAAGACATCCTCGGAGACGTTCGTGGTGGCAGGATTCGGACCTGGCTTGTCATTGGCTGAGTCTCCAAATTTGCTCCAGGTCTTGCGTTTTGCAATACTCTACAATTGAAACGTACTTATGAAACAATGTAAACAATAAGGAAAAATTATCATTTTCAATACAGGAAATTGGTGCTTACTTGCATGTGCTTGTATGTATGTTATTTTATTATATGTATTACAATATAATTGATAAGCTATTGTCATAATAACCATCACTACTGGGTTACTCTAGTCAATTTTAGTTTATTTACTTACAACTTGCTAATTGTATTGTAATATAGATTATATTACAATACAATTAACAAGTTGTAAACTTTGTGGATGAACATTATCAACAATTCTATAAATTTTCTTTCAAACTTTATGCAGCATATATTGTAAATAGATATATTCAGGACTGTCATATAATGATAGTGCGTTCAACAAATTTTTCAAGATAACATATTTTCTGTATTGAACTTCTCACAATTGAGCTAAAGCACAAATGGTATAAAATGGTAAACATACGACAGTTGCGAAGAAGCTTGCTTTTAAAAGCTGAATAAGATGACATGTCTTTCAGTTGTGACAAAAATGTCATATACAAGTTTTTAGGCGGAGCAAGAGAGGGTTTTGAGTTTATAATCTACCATACTGGCCCAGAAAATGCAAGTGACTTAATAAGTCTTTAAAGACTTTGTATACAGCTTTTATGACATGCAGCTTTTGTCAATAGTTTACATTAAAGTAAGTAATAAATTAGTAAATTTAAACTGCATGAATTAATAAAAAGCAGAGGTGCAGAGGCCCATGCTAAGAATCGAACCAGTGACATTAAGCATTGCTTTTATACTTTACAACATGCCATGTACAATCACTATGACATCACAGTTACTTTTATATTTGCAAAAAGATGTAAGTTGAACATTTGATTCTCCATAAACTTAAACTCACAAACCTTAGACACAACACGTTTCTCAATTTTATACGTGCGCACGATTTTGACTTTCTTGTTGTCATTATCATATTTGTATTCAGTGACGATCTTCAGACCATTTTCTACAACTTCCGATGGAGGGGGTAGAGCTCCCTGGTCGATCTCGACCTCATCGGCCCATGAAGACTGGATATCGTCAGCGACAGGCATCTACAATATTCCGTGTTGTAGTTTATTACTATAAATTATACATAAGTATACTCTTAATCGAAATAACTCCCATCATCAGTAATAACGGCAAATCGTCATTACATACATACATTTTAATGTTCGGAGTGATGGAATCCTCACACCCTTTTTGCCTTTTTATACGTTTTCAATAGCGAAATTCGCAAGGAATCATAATAATACACAAATTGAATTATTCAAAAGTAACCTCGCCATTACTAATGAATAAATTTAATTTTAGTAATATTATAAAAATATTGATATTATTAAATCCATACTCACGATTATTTCAGTATTAATGTATTTTATTGAAGATTTACTTGGGTATGCGGGTTTATTTTAGTTAAATTTATTGTGATTTTACTTTACTTCGTACTCTCCACGCACTGTGATTACGTTCCGTGCCACATTGCCATAATAAAAAAAGAATAAAATAAATTAGTTAACGCTCCTCAAAGATGAGATAGCACAGTATGTACCATTCACAAGACAGACAAGAAAAGTATATATGGCTCACTTGTCGTAACTTAAAACATTTTTGGTGGGAATGGAACGTAATATCACAAGACGCATGACAAACCATTAATGACAGCAGGATAGCATAATATGAGCAAGTATTAGCGTAAGAAAGATAGCAATACATAGTGTTGTTAAAATCATGGCTACATTACTCAACGAGTATATTATATATACTGATTCGTACTCTTTCTGAGTGTTTCATTAGTATCAGTATTCAACTAAAAATTATTCGTAATGCTTTTTTTGTTTTCATTTCTCAAGAAATAACTGATAAAAGTTTGATTCTTCACAAATCTATTAAAATGTTACAACATATTTCAATTTATTAAACTGAATCATTTAAAAGAAAAGAAGTTTGAATACTTCAGTTAGATCACACTATATATTCATTCAATTTATCAAACAGTCCAAACACTATTATAGTGACTGACAACGGTGGTGGTGATTGTTCTGCGTCCTAAAATTTGATAATTTATGACGATTGTGAGGTAAAGGACGTTTAATTTTTTATTTTGTACGTTTTTCTAATACTTGCTTTTGTTTTCATTTTGCCGTTCATAAAAAATACGCGCGAATTTACTGACCACGTTCACCAAACAGCAGCGCAAGTTTGCACAATCAAGTTTTTGTTGGCCCGTTGACCCAAGCTTAATGTCATACTCTCAAGACGTGTACGTTCACTATTGTAAATTAGATTAGGGCTATGTAAGTATCTAGTTATAACAGGTTTCTTACTTAAATACTAGTTATATTGGTTAAATTAGGTAGTATTAATAAAGGGCCACACAAGGTTCTTATATTTTTACCTATAAACTTTTCTTATACTCTTACCTGGAATGTTCTCTTTACACGCGTTAATCTTTATTGATAGAGTATGGTCTCCATTGGGTCTAATGCATTGAACAGATATCTTTCAACTAGATAAATCCTTTGAGATGATAATAAAATTTTATGTTTTGTTTACTTGAATTTATCGAAATATTTTCTTTAACAGGTACTTAGTTTAAAATGTTGCGATTCCTCAGTAGAAGAGGCCGCTCATCGAGCCAGAACCGCAATAAACAAGGACAGAAATCTTCAATCAACAAAAACGTAATACAATGTAAGGTAATGTTACTTGATGACACTGACTTGTCAATAAATCTCTCAAAAAAATCTAGCGCCGGTGAATTATACGAACAAGTGTTCTACTCATTAGATTTGATTGAAAAAGACTATTTTGGTTTGCAATTCACGGATACAAACAATGTCAAACACTGGTTGGACCCGACAAAAACTATAAAAAAACAAGTTAAAATCGGACCACCCTATACTTTACGGTTGAAGGTAAAGTTTTATTCTTCTGAACCCAATAATTTGAGAGAAGAATTGACAAGGTACCAATTCTTTTTGCAACTGAAAAAGGATATTTTGGAGAGCAAATTAGAATGTCCTCATTCTACTGCTGTGGAGCTAGCAGCTCTTGCACTACAATCGGAACTTGGAGACTTTGATGAAGCTGTGCACACCCCAGCTACTGTTTCTGAGTTTAGATTTGTACCTAACCAGACAGAAGAAATGGAAATTGAAATACTGGAAGAGTATAAAAAATGCAAAGGCCTTACACCTGCACAAGCTGAGGTCAACTACCTTAACAAAGCTAAATGGCTTGAAATGTATGGTGTTGACATGCACATTGTCTTGGGAAAAGATGGATGTGAATATCATCTTGGCTTAACACCTACAGGCATTCTCGTTTTTGAGGGCCCCCAAAAAATTGGTCTATTTTTCTGGCCTAAAATAAGTAAATTAGATTTCAAGAAAAAAAAACTGACTCTAGTTGTCGTAGAAGATGATGATCAAGGTCGGGAACAGGAACACACTTTCGTGTTTCGTTTGCATAATGAGAGGGCTTGCAAACATTTATGGAAGTGTGCTGTCGAACATCACACTTTCTTCCGCCTACGAGCTCCCGTTAAAGGTCCATCAGCTAGACAAAACTTTTTCAGAATGGGATCGAGATTTCAATATTCTGGAAAAACTGAATATCAAACTACACAACAAAATCGCGCACGGCGCACTGTTCAGTTTGAAAGACGTCCAAGTCAAAGATTTGCTAGGAGACAGAGCCACGTTTTGAGGGAACGTGAAAAGCAAAACACTGCAGCTAAACTTGAAACTTCTGCCACCGTTGAGACCAGTAGCGAAACACCTTCCACCTCAGCAGAGGCTTCTGTCCTTGTTCCTGATAGTGGTATTGATACCTTGTCCAGAAAGAGTAGTGCCAAATCACAAAAATCATCTCTTGTTGAAATCGAGCCTAAAATGACAGAAATAGGTGAACCATCTACTAAAAACGTTGTAGTTGATAATGAACCAGAAGAAGTATTGATATCGAAAGACGACGCTATTAGTAACAAAGTATTATTCAGTAAAGTCGAAAAGGCAGCTTTGGAAGAAAAGAAGAACAATTTGACGCAACTCGTTATTAATAAACCATCATGCAACTGCTCTCCCGTCACAGATTCCAATCCATTGAACGATCTCCTCATGAGTTTAGTGAAAGAGAAGTTGAACAACGACGATTCTAAGAACGAAGTGAAAAGAGATCAATTAGATTCTGCGAGTGATAAAGAAGTGCCCAATAATCAAGCTAAATGCTATTTATCTTCAACGAAAGCTCTACCTCCTGGTCAGTTAAAGTGCAACAACATATTAAAGGCTCGTGAAAATGAGGTTAAGTTAATTAACGAATCCACAAATATCAATCTTACTATTCCATCGATTCCACCGTCGCCTAAGATTTTGAACGAATCCCAAGCTCCCAACTCAAACAACTCTCAATACGTTTCAATCGTAGTTGTGGAACCACCGCTTTCTCAAGCAAAGTCACCGTCTCCGAAACCACAAGAAAGAAAAGAAGACGTCACACCTAAATCTCAGCCAATATCATCCCTTTCGCCTTGGCTTGTCACGTCGGAGCCAAGTTCACCATCAGGAATCGGAGAAAAAGAAATCACAATCATACATCGCAAATCCGTCATTACAACACAATTGTAGTTGGTTAGCTTGTTAAATTTCGATAAATTATTCAAATCTTTATACGAGAGATACCTAATGTAATTTTATCATTTGACAATCGGTTTAGAGTTAAGTATAACTATATACTCCAACTTATTCATTGCCTTACAAATATACTTTATACAAGAATGTAAGCTATTAAGAAACTACATCCATACTTCGGTAGATTGTTCAAGTTTTTTATTAAGAACTTTTGAGCACTTTTTCGCTCACAACTAAGGTTAACGTGCTGATTTTCCGCCTGGTTAGGAGAAACCTCGTTTTCAAGTTTCGAGAGAAACCTAAAATGAGATAAATCCTAATACGACTTTGCTTAACTCTTGGTACAGAAACAGTAATTACTATTTTATACCTACTAAAAGGTACCAAACATTCCTAAATAGTTAGTATTTTATACTACAGAACAAGACAATTAGTACTTAACACGTATACTGTAACTTATAACAAAACTTTCGACGCTGATTATGTTCAGTCGTTAATCTATTTTGCATCAAAATGCAAACGATGGTGCATTCCGTAATTCATGTACTTAAATAATTAAATATCGATTAGCGCCGTCCTCTTACCGCTATCATGGCAGTTTAGTATATTTAAGTAGTACAAGGAACAGTATTATATTATGACAATCATTCACGGAAAAATGTGCCATAACCCATACATTCTGAATAATGACAAGTAAAATAATTATTATGTATTTGCCTATTAAGAGTAAATGTTTTTGAAGGAATTTCACAAAATTGAAATATTTGCCACATATTCTGTAAGGTAATTACGACTACACCACGTGTCGTGTTATATGATACTTGTATTTGTATACGCGATCAGTATACAATATTAGTCATAGACAACAGATCACACACCATCTGGCATCGCGTAATGAAACATGAACTTGTATATTATTATAAAAAAAATAATTATCTATTTTAATTAACTAGTGAAATTTATATCGACAAAAAATTTTATCCGTCCTCGTTTTAGTGCTTTAGGATAAATACAGATTTTATGTAATTACCAAGTGCACTTATTGTTGATACAAATATACAACGGTAGTGCCAATGTTTAAGGATTTTATAAGGTGCCTGGGAACAAAGTATTGATATCTCTTATTAAAAATGAACTTATCTTGCTTCGACGATTTTTTTGTCCATAGTAATGTTACTCATACCTTTAATATATTGCTCATATTATTTACTTATGGATTTCTCTTTCTTGAGTGCTCAACTGAAATTTGATTTACGCTAACGGCTTGGACGGTTGCCTATGAGTAGTCCAAAATGGCATTTTCCAGAAATAACGTTTGGTCGAAATTTCATAACCTCGAAAGTAATTTTGAGGGGAAAATGTTTTTTCTTTTAAACCTAAATTAACCTAACCTAACCAAACCTAATCGTGTCTTTGCGATAAATATTCAACATATCCTGAAAGAAGAACTGTTTCGTTATAATTCCGTTTTCGGTGTAATGAAAATTCGAACAAACGTTATTACGGACAAAACAATTTTCGAGTTTGTAATAGGTTACCGGCTTGGGCACTAATTAGAGGGGACGTCGACCGTATGATATCTCACGTTATAATTTCATATTACGATAAAGATAATAAAAATATCACTAACTTTAAGACCGCGAAAAAGAAACAAACCTATGACGACCGAAATTTTCGGGTAACTGATATCACACATATTATTTCGGTAACAATTTTTTTTATGATACCTACGTACGTGAAGAGACGAGCAAGTAGTACGCTTGTAGGGCTAATACGGCAGGGCGCGACTAGCGCGAGAGCGACATAAAGCGCAAGATACCTACTGGTAATCTCGCGCAGAGATCTCGCGCTTAATGTCGCTCTTGCGCAAGTCGCGCTTGTTCGTGCTGGCCTTGGGTGATAAGCGACACACCTGCCCATAACAGTTGCAGTGCCACTGCGTCCACCACCCAGAGACATAAGTTGACAAATCCCATGTTCCTGTAATTTTACCAGAACCCTTACTTACCCTTCAAAACCAGAACCTAATTAATGCTCACATTACTGATTGGCGGCATAAATAGGTAAGGTGGCAGTACTTCCTTGGACGAACTCTTTCACAAGGAACTCTACAACTACTAAATGTGTAGATGGTTCATACTGGCTCCGAGAGCGGTGCATAGGCCAATTCAGAGTCAACCGATAAATTTATTAATGCTTGGTATGACTTTTAAACAACCTTTATGCGTGTTATCGCGGAATTAGGCCTAAGATATCTTACGGTCAGCATTTCTACTAAAATTATGCAAACCAACGATGACATTATTCAACGATACTTATAATTATTACGTAAAAGACGTAAGGTTAATGAACGTTTGTACGAGTCAACGCATGTTCGGCCCTTCATACCACATTTTTTTAAATTTGTAATTATGTATAAGAGAGAGAGAGAGAATGTGAATTTGAATTTTTGAGTTTCCTCATTCAATCCCTTAATGAAGTACTTAATTCTTAAGGTGTACTCGCATAAGCTGCACAACTGGGACGTGCAGCCATGCCATTCCTTCCAACTGCCATTGTGCGTTTAAGATCCCGTCGGAATGCAGCTTTTGCGAATAACCACATATTTGTACGAATAATCATGATACTCTTAATATATTAATGACTATATTTGCCTAATCAAGGCTTGTTTTATTGAATGTAGTATTATATAATATTTTATTTGTAGTAAGTATGGTTTATTAATAAAATGCATATTTTGCTGAATAATATTGTTTTATCAATAGTTTCTCTAAAACCCCTACATCCTACATAAAATGACATTAAATTTTAACATTATTAAACATCAACCATATCTATTATTGAAATCTTTGTTAAACATCATCGTTAGAATTGTGAGCGCGCGCTCACAATATATATATATATATAGGCTTCGATCCGGACACGTTTCATAATCTTTTTGTATTTGGAGAGGGGGTGAATTCTCCAAATTACGAAGAGTATGGAATTCCTGAGGATGTACGTCATTTGTGTTCGACTTATCAGAGTGCGGTTATTTTCAAAGATTTTGGATTCTGATCCATTTAATGTTAGGTGGTTCAATCCGTTTTAGTGCCGCGAAGATTTTGTATATATGTTTGGTTAGGTAGTATTTTGATTTATCTGTTTGGATTCTGTTTTTTTGTATGTATTATTCAAGTCAAGTCCCTAAATAAGTGCGGCTGCCTTGGAATTGAGTTTTTAAGAGTGAGTTTTAAATTTACAAATAAGAGAGAAGACTCAAATAAAGCTTACACTGGCGATGATCGCTATAATTTTTATAATATTATTCTTATAAAACTGACACTGGCACATAATAGTGGCTGCCATGAAGGAAATAATAAATAAGTATTTATGAGATATGAGAAATAAGTATTTATTTTGACATATTCTTGAAGATATCAACGATAATTGCCAAAGAGTTAAAACGAAAATATCTCAAGGCAATTCATTTTGCGGTAAAGAGTGTTAGTTTTAAAGTGATTTGAAACGATTGGTATATAAATTTGTGTAAAAATGTCGTATTCTAGACAGTTCTCTGAAAAACATTTAGAAATGGAGAAACTGTTTTCGTTTAAACGTTATTTCATGAACAACGCAGACTCGTACCACGGTATGTGTGTGCTTAGCGAAGTTTCTAAGATATTAGCTAAAAATGCGATTCCGCCTAGTGTCTCGGACACCGTTGTCGGGGAAGATGCACCACCAAGGCCGCCTCTTCCGCCGGAATTCCCGTATGAAATTTACGGTAAGACATTCGTAATTTCATATTAATTTCTACTCGTTTTTCATACGAACTTCATTTCAGGAAAATCACGAATTCTAGTTTGTCCTTTATTCCTGCGTGACCATGGTTAAATTTTGAAGTTTGATCAGTCGGGTAAAAAGTCGTAATGTAGTCGGCTCTAGTCGCAAAAAACTAGATTTAGTCGGTCCGCCGAATGCTTCAAAGTTATATGGGTATTTTATTCTACACACTGCAGTAAGCGCAGCGCCACCATTTCTCAATCTCAAGAACCACAGCGCTTAACTTAAATCTGTCTGTGTGTTGTAGTCGTAAAAAACGGATTTAATCGTTATGCCGTCTTAATATTTTACTATGTATGCTGGAATATAAGCTTATTTCGGCGACACCATTTTTCAATGTCGCAAGCTCCTAAGATCTGACTGCACCCACAAAACGTGAATAAGTCGGTTCTAGAAAAAGTCAATGGTTCTAGTAGCAATATTTTAGAATTCGCTGCATAATTCAAAAGATATCTCTGATTTTCAATAAATTTCATTGATAAGAACGTTTACAAAGCAAAAAACGTGTGATAATTTAAAATGTATCTCCACCTTTCGAAATGTTTACTCAAATTCATAGAGATTCATTAAATTAATTTATTAAAGTAATCCAATATTATGAATATTGATTTTTATGTACTTGTCACACCGCATAATTCATTTCGTCTTTTTCGATGCGTTTTTTGTGCGGGTCAGATCATGTTTTCCCATTAGGTAGGTACATACCTGTCCTTGTTACACTTTCTTGTGTTGTGTATTTACTGTGCGCTTGTAATGGTGCGTTTTAATTTTGATAAAGGGTGTAATAAATAATTTTAAGTAAATAAATTTAAGTAATATTTTAAATATCTACTGAGTTTTTGGGGTTTAATTTAACCGTAACACCATTTTGTATTTGAATATGACTTGCGGTATAAAATATGAAATTTATCTTTTAATCACTTCATAATATTATTTTATTAGCTACCGTCGTAAATGAAAAGGATCCCCAAACAGAAAAGAAGAAAGGAATGGAGAATGTGGCTAAAATCTTATCCAAAGATAAAAAGCTAGTTCAAACACTGCTTACTTGCGGGACAGTTATCTTGGATATAAGCTACGATAGGGAAGAAGTCCATACCGCCATGGAATATTTAAAATGTAAGTAGCCACATTCTTATCGTCAGCTAAACTTGTAAACTCATAACCGCCAATAACATGAACTTTTGATTAGACGCAAAAAACAGAATTATATATAATTAGAAATAATTAGGTATATGACAATCTATGATTATACCTTTACTTTGTATTTAAAAACATATCTACAAATTATATTTTAAGCTTTAAAGCCCAATATTACTCTTGAAGAATAATAAAGAGATTTCACCCAAAAACGGAGTTAGGAGGGTTTTCAAATATAGCCGACGCTATTCTTTCAGATAGGTATTTGAATAATACGGTGTTACGGAATAAGGAAATCAATAGTATACTGAGTTGTGCACTAAAATATGACTGCTAATAATTATTATTGATAATTCAATAAACCCAGTCTACTTCTAGCAACCAAGTGACTTAGATCACTAAATTGAATTATGTAGTCTACTTAAGGTGAAGGTAGTTGTACGTATACAGGATGCCTCACACCTGTGCGACACGGAGAGAAAGTACTTTAAATATTGTGTAGAATATTATACTTCATGGAGACATTTTATTTTTAAAAGGAATACTGCGTTCAAAATCTCGAAAAGTTGCTTGCCTCATCTGGAAACCGACTAAATATAAAAAAGAACTATATTTTACGAATCACGTCGAAGACGGTTCACAAGTCTCGGAAAGCATCTGAAGTCCCCAACCCGCATTGGGATGGTGTGGCGGTCAATGGCCTAATCCCTCGCCTGAGAGAAGACTCGTGCCCAGCCGTGGGACTTATAAATGGGTTGATGATGATAATGAATAGTCTTAGAATGAATAATTTCTTAATTTAAAAAATAAAATAATGTCTAATATGTTCTCGTTTGTTCCGTGTTGCAGTTGGCATAGCTTCTGCCACGGTTTGCTAGGAGACGTTCGTCGGTTCGAATCCAGACGGATCGAAGGAATTTTTTCTACGTGTTCTATCTTTGTGCTAATAATAAGTAATGGAGTAATTTCACAAAAAACAATTGAATATCAATTCAATAAAAATTTAAAACAACGTCTCCATGAAACAAAATATCCTCTCTAGAATATTTAAATATTCAAAAAACTTTCCCTCCGTGTCGCATAACCACGGGACACACCCTGCATACTCAGGTCATTTAGACGTATGTACTAAGTTGTATAACAACATATTCATGTCAAAAGGCTTTTTGCAGTGTTAAAAGCATTGCTGGAGAGACAACTCGAATCCATGGGATTAAAGCCTGACGACGCAGATGCGAACGATGACGCCGGTGGTGAATCCAAGAAACGTTACTTGATACTCATATCTACTGTAATGTCTTGGGCTGCGACGAAGCCTTTAGACCCTGTATGAACTTCTATATCTTAATTTTTTTATTTAACTGCGATGCTGTTGAAGCCCCCACACACACAACGCCATAGTGACGCTTTATCAGGGAATACACTTGATGCGCTAGTGTCGCGGCAAACCCATCAACATCTTGATAGCGTTATTGTTACTATACACTCAGGGTGTTCAGGATTTTTATTTTTTATGATGCGAAATCGTCATTTGGTATCATAAAAAATGATGACTAACAAGTGTTCCTGGTGTTAAGCAACACGTCCGTCCATAGCAGTTGCAGTGCCCCTCAGAGCTTTAAACCGCAAAGATCTGAAGGACGCTGCCACTGCCGTCACCTTAAGACATAAGATGACAAGTCCTATGTACCTGTAATTTCACCAGCACCCTAATCCTCAAAACCGAAACACGGTAATGCTTACATTACTGTTTGACGGTAGAAATAGGTAAGGTGGCCGTACTTCCTTGGACGAACTCTGTCACAAGGAGTCTGCTGCTACTAAATTAATGAGATAAGCACTTGCTATAAACCCGTCTGAGTCGCAGTGGTTCAGGTTTCTGGGGCCTCCTCAGTAGCAGTAGAGCTCCTTGTGAAAGAGTTCGTCCAGGGAAACACTGCCACCTTACATATTTCTGCCGCCAAGCAGTAATGTGAACATTACAGCATTCCGGTTTCGAAGGGTAAAGGTACCGGTGAAATTGCATTAACAAGTCCGTTAACTTGTATCTGAGGGTGTCGATGTTTTACCAGCACCTTTACCCTTCAAAACCAGAACGCAGTAATGCTCACTTTACTGTTAGCGAAAGTAGGAGATAGTAGAGTGGCAAACTAGGAGATGAATCCGGTTTCGCGCCCTTTCCGGTAGGTAAGCGATGTTAATAAAACTTGGCAAATAGGTGTAATCCCACAAACTTTTAAGGTCAGTTTTTTATAAAAAAGCTTACAATTTTTATTGCTTTTTTATTACATAACACAGGAAAATCCAGAAATGGCATTCATTGAATCAGATTTTCGTAAAAGGAAACCTCATCCAAATTATAAAGATTATTACGATGTCGAAAACGAAGTGATTGGTATAGCTAGAAAATATAAAAGTCAGATCGGGTAAGGGACATGAATTTTTTGTATCACTTCTCTAATTGTGGTATCTGTCGTAATTGTTATAATTATTAATGCAAGCAAAAACAAAGTAGCGTCGCTCTGCCAACTGAGCAGGTCGACGAAATTCTTTTTTTTATATTATCAAATGACGGGACGAACAAGTCATGCGCCTGATGACAAGTTACACGCCTGTTCATAACAGTTGCATTGCCACTCTGAGCTTTAAATACCAAAGATGTGAAGGACACTGCCACTGCGCCAGTCACCCTGAGACATAAGTTGACAAGTTCCAAGTGCCTGTAATTTCATCAGCACCCTTACGGTGGCAGAAGTAAGATAAGGTGGCAATACTTCATTGGACGAACTCCTTCACAAAGAGCTCGACCATTAGTAAAAGGAGCTCTTCTGAGTCTGTTATACATCTTTGTGTTGGGGTTTTTCGGCTTTCAATGCCGAATTATGGTATTTATTATTTTTTTGTCATTAGCGCTATTGTGGTATGTACTGGAGTCACTTATGGAGGAAAGGAAGACGTGTTATATTATTGGTTCCAAAAGGCTTGGGAATGCGAAAAATTTCTACCAATAATCGGCCGTGGTGGAAACGCTGTTCCGCTTATCAACGTATTGGATTTAGCTCAGTAAGCCGTCTTGTTTTTTAGCAATCAGATACCTAGTTGACGTGACGATGGCGTTGAGATGACGACCTCCTTGGTCGAATGACTTGCACATCAGTTTTCATGATGTCGCCATCAAAGAGGTCTCGGGGTCGATCCCCGGCGGAATCAATATAGAAAACTTTTATATTACCTCGGGTCTGGATGTTTGTTGTAGCGTCGTTGTTTCCGATTTCCATAACACAAGTGCTTTTGTTGACGGACCAAACTATGTGATGATGTCTAAAATTTTTGTTTATTTGCCTCTTTGCACGTATCTCTGTTAATAAATCTTAATAAACGTCCATATTAATGGTTTTAAATGTTACAGAATTGTATACAATTTGATCTCCGATTTTCCAAAGAAGTTGTACATTCTGGCTGTAGAGCAAAATATTACGAAACAAAGAGAGGTAATATTGAACTTCGTCGTTACACGTAGCGCCGCATATTTGTTTTGTTATCACAATGCGTTGTTCTGTGACGGTATACAGGGCATTGTATGGTAGATAACGAAAGTATTTCCCATGTTACAGATAGTTAAACCTCTCGGAAGAATCGTAGGATCTGGAATGTTCAAGTGTTTACCACCAGAAGACGCATTTTTGGTTAAAGAATTAGATGTAAATATTTTCGCTTTTTCGTAGCTTACCTATAATAATAATGCCTACTTAATAACATACCCGACAACCACACAAATTACCTGGACTCGAATTAGGGAATTACCTATAGGTACTATGAATACCAGTGCAACGGAATTGACTTCAGGGCACTGCGCAGAACACCTAAATTGGTCTTACCGGGACTCGAACCCGTAATGTTTTCATCCATCAGCCACAGTGCGAACCGTTGTGCCCCTGATGTCATCAACCTATCACCGTCAACATTAAGTTTATTTTTTAAACTAATTATGACTTGCAGTTTTCTAGAGTTTCTTTCACGAATTTTACAGCAAAGAATCTTTGACTTATTCACCATTAACTTAAATATGGAGCCGACCTTCATTGTTGAAACCATGGGACTGGAATGGACCTCCGAATTGACATTCGGAGAAAATATACCAGCACTGATTAAACAGTTTAAAAAAGAAAGGGGGCTTAAACCTTACAAGGTCATACATTTGAATTCAATATATCTTATTTCGTTTTTTATTAGTTACATACTTACATGCTAATTTGTAAACTATTCTTGTGATTTATATCTATGGTATATGCTAGTGACGTACTTGTATATTCGTGCTGTCGTATAGGTATATGACATGTATGTCCCCAGGTAGTCATTTATGGGCCGCCACTAGTGGGAAAAACCTCTCTGGCTAAGCAAATATGCGAACGCTATGGTCTTCTTTACGTGTCGCCAGAAACGATAGCTGCGGATATGACTGAAGAATTGGTTAGTGCTCAGATCTATAACTTTGAAGGCAAATAATTGATTACGAATTGACAGAAACATGTTTTGTTACGAAAGACCGAACAGTTATGTAATCTATTCTATTGTGTTTATCGAGCGATAACACAATGGGTCTTACAATGAATCCCACGTGTACGGTATATATGTTACTGAGACAAACTTGGATAGGTATGAACGGATCTCACTCTGGATATATTATATGTCTGTGGAGCGCACCTGTATTTTGGTTATTACCCGTTTGCGTGTTATTCTATATGTAGAAATTGTACATTTTTTGTACAATTTTACATTGAACAGGTATATATACCTATACATACGTCGATAGGGATGGCGTGTGCAACATTGGAATACACAAGGTGAAACTGCAGCGCTTGGTATTGCAGGCGGCGAAGATGATGATGTTACGGCATCTATGGAAGATATTGCCGACGAAGAGGCTGTCCAAGAAACTGCAAGAAACACCCTTGCAATGTTACGGTCAGGGCGACCTCTCGGTGAAGAAGAGATTATTTCGTAAGTTTTATTGCTGTGTACAAGTAGGTATACCTGACATGTACATACCTAAGTTGTGTTCTTTATAAAATAAATGCGTAAACATTCAAATCTTTCAGCTTTTTGCGTCAACGACTTTTAGGTCATGAGGCCTTAAATAAAGGTTGGGTGCTTGACGGATTCCCAACAAATCTAATTCAGTGTGCCACACGTAAGTTTCTACGTTAATGTGTAAACATAAACTATAAACTAGGTATATTATTAACTTGACAAATTTTCCTGCCTTATAAGTTTTCGAGAGGGGTGATGAAACGGATTCTGTGGCTGAGGAGGATAATGAAGATGAACAATTCGAAGAAGACGCTGAACTTTACAGTAATGTGCTAAAGAAAATACTGCCTGGTACGAAATTTTATTATTTAAATTTTAGACGAATTTAGGCTTTATTTCTACAGACAAAAAACCGGAATATTGCAGATATCGTCGTTTCTCTTGAAGCAACAGATGACTTTATTTGTGAAAAAGCAATGCGTCAACCCCAAGGAGATTCTTATTTGGAAGAAGAAATTATCCTTAAACGTCTCTCTGAGTTCCGAGTCGGAGACACAAGAGATTTGACGCCTCTTAATTTTTTCGATGAGCTTGATATACACCCTCTGGTGGTACCTGTGAAAGATCACAATGATTATGCCATGCAGAAACCATACGCTAATGTTGCGTTGCGTATGGGCAGACCTTGCCGCTATCCAAAACTGCTTGGTAAGTCCTAATAAGTCTACTTCGTTAGCAGCTAGAATCGCTTTAATTTTATATAAACACATATTTTTCAATAAATTTTTAGCCTTAACTGAAGAGGCTGAGAAAAAAGAAGCCCAAGAAATTAAATCATTGCGAACTAAAGAAGAACAAATTTTGAAGGAAATGGAAAAGAAAATGCAAGAGGAACGTGAAGACAAAATGGAATATTGGGTAAGATCAACATGTGCAGTTAATTGATGCTTTCAATGTTATCTATAATTTGGCCTATAAAGCTAGCGGGCCAGATGGAATTCCAGGGCAGGGCTATTCTGCGTAACTGTGCGCCTGAGTTGTATGTATGACTCTTTTGAACAACGGGTGTTAGATTCTTCATTCTTATATACTGTCCGCAACCCTCTTTCTGCTGCATATCAATGATATATTAATTCCCAAGTGCCTTTGGATATACTGATGACAGCACAATTGTGGACAGATATTTGACCAATGCAAGGGTTAGTGTAGAAGAACTCCAGTCTTGTCGAGAGTCCATGGTTAGTCGTTTGAATTTCACACTTAAGGCAGTCTCCGATTGGGGCGATGCCAATCTTGTCAAATTTAATGCTACCAAAACGCAGGCGTGACTATTCTTCACAAAACGGAGTCCCTTTCACCTGACCCCGACTTTTTGTGATATATCCGTACCGATAGCCGACCGTCTTCACATACTTGGAATGGACCTGTCGTCCAATCTAAACTTCGGTAGATACATTGAATCCATGACCAAAAATCCAAAAATGCAGCCAGGAAGCTTGGCATCCTTTCCGAGGTGAGGGGTTACTTCACACCGGGACAGTTGCTTCAGCTGTACCAAGCACAAGTCCGGCCGTGTATGGAGTATTGCTGCCAGTAAATGAGATGGCTCTGCTAAATACCAACTAGCCGCCTTCCATTCAATAGACAAGCGTGCCAAGAGACTTAAAGGTGACTCGAAATTAGTAGAGGCGAAGCTGCAGAGCTTTGAACACCGCCGTAGAGTTGGCTGTTTATCGGTATTCTACAGGACAGTGTGCGATGGAATTGTATAATTTGATTCCGCCTCCCCCTTTCCATCTTTCGTCATCTTTCCATCGGGGGACTAGACGTGGACTGTTGTGGATATGCCCAGGATTCGCGCGAAGCGTTTTGCTGCCACATTTATATGGCGAGCGGCAAGGGTGTGAAATTCCCTGCCTGCGGTCTTGTTCCCCGAACGCTATAACTTGGACCTTTTCAAGGCGACAATGAATAGGCATTTAGGTGTGCGTGCTACATCGTCGACCTCATCGTCACTTTCCATCAGGTAAGATGGAGATCAAATGCACTTATTATTAATAAAAAAAAACACGCTTAATACATGTATTCAAAGGTTTCTAAAACTATTTCCATTTTAGTCCGAGTTATACGCTTTACTCCGCGAAGAAGAGGAAGCAGCACTAGCGGCAGCAGGAGAGCCAATGCGCAACTATCTCGTTCACCACATCTTCCCTACTCTTACTCCTGCTCTGCTTGAAGTGGCCAAACTGCGTCCTGAAGACCCTATTGACTTTTTGGTATGTACCACGCATGTATATACTATTCTACAATTGTCCATACTTTTTCTACGGCTCTCTTGCAACATGAGCTTATGACGTTCTTTAAATAAATATAGTGTCTTGAATACAATACAAACTCATAAATGCGCCCCTAGAACTTCCGTAATCCATGTAGGTATTATTTTGAATGGAGTAATGTATTGTCCGGTTGTTGTATCATAAATTATTATTCATGTTAATTAGGTACCTACTTTTAGCATGTATCGAAAGTCTGTAAATTACAATGATTATTGTTGAATAAAATTTGTTATATTGTAATTAGGTTCAGGGGCAATTGGATAAATAACAGGATACAATTATTTTGCTGTTTGCAGGCCGAGTACTTGTTCAAGTTGAATCCTAACGGCAAAATGCTCGAACCGGGTTTCAACCTGCAAGCCGAGAAGATGTTGGGCAGAATTAAACTACTAGATGATGCGCTTAAAAACTTGGAAATAAAGATTGACCCTCTTATTCCGTCTGATGCGGAAGTTGAAGAGGAAAAAAAGCATGTGATAAATCCCATGAGTGCATTATAAGTTGACTGTACTTTCATAAATTACTTTTACTTACTTATGAATATGATACCTAAATATATATACATTCTTTTAATGTTTTGCGCTTTACAAACAAATTAAATATTAGATTTATTATGTACAAAATCGTGCGTGACACGAAACGACACGCAGTCGGTCAAAGTAAAATAGTTTATTTTTGTAATTGCTTTTATTTTCGTGATGGAATCTACCACGAAATATTTATTAGATTTATAACTTACCGACAAACCTTAACTGCGCAGTAGGTGTTGTAGAATTAGTAAACATTGACTAATTTCCCAAATTGTTTGAGAGTCGAACATGGAATCGAGATTTATATCATTATTATTATAAAGGTAAACTATATTTAATAGAGCTTTTTGAAAAAAGTTTGTTCGTAACTTATATGAATATTTTAGTGCTTTAATACCGTTTCAATGTCACGAGCGCGCGGATACGGTTACATGACAATCACGCTATAGTGATCGATACTTTCGATGTTATCTCTTGGGTGGTTTAGTACAACATTTACTCAAATTTTGTTGGTTCAGTTGTGTCATTTGGTGTTGATATGGTTTGGACATTGCACCGGGGAAAAAACTAAACATTTAAATGTATTCAGAAGCCACTTTTAGGACCACCCGTCTAAGAACTGGGAAGGTCAAATCTGATGAAGGGGGACTATCTCTATTGGCTGCGAGTCTGCGTCATCAAACTACTGAGTTTTTTAATAACTCTACATTACATGGGGTCCGGTATATTGCAGAAAAAGAAAGACCGTTTTGCGAAAAGTAAGTCACTCTCCTCTTGATATTTATATTGCTTTCTATCTTCGAGAATTTAGTAAATTATTCTGAATATCCAGATTTATGTGGTTCAGCTTCACTGCTATAGGAGCCGTTACAACCTGCATCATTATAGTCACTTTATGGGAGAAGTTTCAGACTAACCCTACAATTACCGGTAAGCTACAACAATCTGTTGTTTCGTTGGAAATTAAACTATTTTTAGTATCTAAATCGCGTACCTATATTCCAACGCTTCGGGCTCTTTACAGATCCCATGGTCATGCACGGTTTACTGTGGTGATTTAAATATCAACCAGTTATGTCTAATATAGTAAACTGCCATATTTTGAACAGTCGTTACATAAATCATTAACTTAACTAATTTTTTTATTTACCAAATGCATGTTTGCATTTAATGCGCGTAGTCCTGATCAAAGTCGAATTCGATGTGATCAAAGTCGAAACTTCGACTGCGTGCGATCGAGAATCCTATTTTTGGTGCATAAACGTCAGATACAGTTGATGTCAACCATAGTCCGAGAATCAAAAACATTACTAAGAGGATGTATGATTTTTTGTGTCTGAAACGGCTTGATTATTTTTCAGTTATAGCAAAAGGAATGGAGAGTTTAATTAATATAATGGTAAAACAAAAACACGATCGGTGAAACAGTTGTATAACGCCTGGTAACATCCTTACTCCAATTTACGCTATTTTTTACCAAATAAATTCAATTTACCAAATAAAAGGAAAAAAATATTAACGAGCAGTATACTGTAGTCTTATGTTTGCTTGGGATTTCTCATAAGAGAACATTTTGGATCCCAAACTGGTGATACGGAGCAACTACCTCCCTTGTTGCAATTAGGGTGTTAATTGCATAGTCCTCTCACAGCATCCTGGGTAAAAACGTCTTGTTCAAGGATCTGGGGTTTGTCATACTTAATTGAATATATAAGTTTATCTATGATATATCCGCAAGCTGCAGTCTACGCGACGTTGCTTGACATCAGCTATATTTTCTTCGACGTGTATACAAATGCTTCGTTTTGTCTGTCCATTGTATCCCTTACAATGGACACTCTGCTGCTGCACTCGCATTCAAGCTCCAGCAATCTTTATAGATTGCCTTATTATTAAGGAGATGTTACATTTCATGTGTCTCAGGTTACTGAAAAATCTTCCTCAAGGTCTTGAAATAGGTCTTGATAGACGCACCTTGTCTGAAACACCTCTCACATAAGATAAAATGGCGGGTGTTCGCTCGATTGTTGGTGGTTTTGAAAACGTTGGTGACTGTTGGTGATTTGAAACGGACTTTGACTTCGACTAAGCTAAAATGAACTATGCCTAAGTTTAAGCAAGAAATTAAACGAAAATTTAAGTTCACTTCGCAATTTCTTGTTTAAATTTAGGCAAAATTCGTATTGTAAATGCCATTTTTGCTTCAGTCGACAAGAAAGTTCGTTTTACAAATTTCAGCCAATCTTAGCCTATGATATTTATTAGTTGATATTTTTACATCCCGAAAAATAGTTTCATTTCCAATAAGTAACAATCGCAAAAACCCTAAAACTCATACGTTCCGTCATTTTAATACGCTAAATTATAGACACTTTAAATTTGTAATAGGTTTGGACACCGATTTTCATAACTGGGATGTGCCCTTTCCGGCGGTAACTATATGCGATTTGAATCCTGTCGATGAAGAGTTGTTACAAGAATATATTGAGAAGTAAGTCTTTTACCCATCTCTAATTTTAGATGAACTGTAAGAAATTATCTTTATATTATGTGTATTTTCTATAGGACATGGGGTTCAGAGCCGCCGTCGCATGCCGCAGATATGCTGCGTTGGTTGGCTAGTCTTAGTTACCAAACTATCTCCGAGCAAGCTGGGCAATACTTGTCAGAGCCTAAGCTAGTGGGAAATAGTGACACTGACGGGCTTGAACCTGCTTTAAACCCGAAAGCAGCTGTCTTTGAAGTACGTACGTGTATATTCCTATAATGTATCGAATCTTGCGCATTAATGTGTCTATGCCATAGTGTCACATGTATTTTTGTGGGCCACAGCCCTGCTGCGACTTGACGTCGATTTCTTAGGCACGCTGTGTAACTGTTTTTGGTTTTTTACAGATAGTTCGACACTGTGAGAATCTATTCTATGACTGTGAATGGAAAGGAGATTCTGAAGAATGTTGTGACTTACTAGTGCCGGTGTTCACTGAAATGGGATTTTGTTATGCTTTTAATTCGCGTCACGCTGAAAAGACATGGCCTTGGTAAATACGACACCTTAGCTTTTTTCGTAAATTATTACTAAGTATAATATGTACTTTATAAGATAGAAACAATAAATAAAATGTATTATTATATTGAAATATTAAACTGTTTATGTATGCTTAATCGCTTTCCACTTTCAGGCAATCTCAGACCCAAATGGAACAATTTACTGAAGCGTTCATTCATGAAACTGACGCTAAGTGGTCTTTTATGTTCAATTCCTACCGCAATGACACGACGATAGATGTACGTATCTTTAATTTTGGTATCATCTTATAGCAATAAAATATCGACTTTAAATTTTTGCAGGTGTACATTCATTCCACGGAGGAAATGGCTGGTTTGGAGCTAAGTGCTCAGCATTCTTGGGATCGCAGGGTGGAAAAAGTATCTTTTTCAGTGAAACATACGTATACCACCGAAGATGCGCGGCAGTTGTCAATCCGACAACGCCGGTGCGTGTTCGCCGACGAACAGCCTTTAGAAACGTCTAATATATACACATACTCAGCTTGCATGAGACAATGTCGAATGCAAAGGAGTCGTTCTTTTTGTAAATGTGTACCCCATTTTTATCCCCCAATAGGTAAGTAATGTTGTGCACTTAACATTTGACAAGTTAACAGTGAAGTAGGTACAATCACCGCCAAAATTAATTGAGCGAACAAAGCCAGTAGGACATCGATATTTTACATATAAGTACGTGGGGCGCACTATAAGTTTCCGGAATGAATGAGGAAAAAATACTATAAATGGTCAGAAATGAATTCATTGTTTCTCAATATATTCTCCGTTAGTGTTAATGCACTTTTTCATACGAATGAACCAATTTTGAACACATTTATGCCATTCCTCCGTGACAAACTCTGAAACATATTTTTCATACTCTTCGACAGCCTCTTCAGGTGATGAAAATCGTTAACCGCGTAACTGGTTCTTAATTTTTAGAAATAAATTAGTCACAAGGTGCCAGGTCGGGACTGTATGCGGAATGGCTCATAAGAGAGCACAGCTTTTTCACACCCAAATGTTTGTGTAGTATTGATTGTATTTGACTCATGCCTATGCCTAAAGATGCATAATCTCATGGTATAATACGGCGCACAGCAACGATGTTTTTGTTGTTCACAGCAGTGGACGGACGACCATCACGAAATTCGTCACAGATTTACACGTCCGCTTTTGAATTCTGCAAACCAACTATAAATAGTCGTCTTGTATGGTGCTTCATCGCCAAAAGCAGTCTGAAGCCGAGCGAAGCTCCGCTAAGCTGTTAAATTACACTTAAAGTCGTAGAAAATCATACTACGAAAATTTGCACAAGTTAATTCCATGGTGATGTAGACAACCAATTTCTAAAATGACGCCACAATGTAAAAACAAGTGATAGTCAGATGAACAAACTGTATTCTACAGCCAAAGAGTTCCATTTTAAAATGTTATAATTACTTTATAATATTGTTTATGTAAGTGGCCAGTTCCGGAAACTCAGTGCGCCCTATGTACCAATATAGGTATAGTTACTGAAGAAATCGACTGTGTTGGCAGTGAGGATTATCACTAGTTCATGTTCACCCTGGAGCATGGAATTTTGACCGTTACGAAATATCGGGAAAATAAAAAGAAGTCATACCGTACGAAACATGTACCTAAGTGATAATTATTACGTGAATAAACACGAACGTTTTAAAATCTATATTGATTTTTTTCAAGTTTGTCACGAAACACGCATTATAAATAATTGATTTTGGTGCTGTTTTCAATTTAAGAATATTCACAGCACAACTTTTTTACAGCTGGGTACAAAACATGTACTGTGAAAGAATTGGAGTGTATAGCGAAACATGAGGCCGCTATAACTGACGTAACGCGATGCGCGTGCGAGTTAGGCTGCTCACACACCGTGTATGAAGTCGAAAAACTCACCGAGATTGAGTAAGTTGCCTTAAAATACGTAGCTAAATTATTTAACCAAACGCAATTTCCCGAGCATTACGTATTAAAAATTATTAGACAGACCTTTACAAAGATTTTTAAATATTATTAGTGGTACGATTCCGTCAACGTACGTATTGCATCTAGAGTGCGTACGAGCGCAATTTAGTAAAATTAAGTTATATCTCATTTACACCAGTACAGCACAGGTCGACAGGCGACCCGCGCTTGCCTGCAAAATGCGGAAAGCTACCCGGTGTACCTAAATACCGAGTCGTCTGACGACTGTAGTACGCAGCCGAAATCGACCGAAGCCAATAAGTGAAACGCTATGGGTGACACAGTCGCCTCCCGCAAGCGACACGATGGTCGGCCGAGGTTTCAATTTGCCCGCGATTGCGACCCATCACGATGCGCGGCGATTCACGAAGGCCTTTGGCAAGGCGAAGTAGTGTAATACGACTCGATATTAATAGCAAGTCAACTGCGTCACCTACGGCGAGGAGAAGTAGTCTGCCGAAGGCGGTAGACATCCTGCGTCCGGATTTTGATTCAAATCGGAATCGATCCGGTCGGGTAGTAGGTAGGATCGAAATCAGATGGGTTTCTGAGCGAGAAGATGAACCTGATTCCAACTATATATTTCTAATTTGTGAGATAAATCAACTATTGTTCCGATCAGAAATGTCAAAAGTTTCCGATCAGTCAGTTGTGAATTGCAATTATGCGCTCGACTCGGAAAAGACGCAGTTTCCGACCAGAAGAGGCAATCAAAATCAAGCTGCCGGTGCCAATGCGCTATTAGAGTATCGCCTTTAAATATAATAGTATTATTAGTTTAGTTATAAGCGAACTTCTCTCAAATTTCTTTTCTAAAATATCGTAAGACATTTTCTTGAACACTACATTACAATATTAAAACAAATTCGCACAGGGAACATTTGTAGAACAAACTAATTAACATTCATAATGAAAGATCCTGTATTGTCTATCCGTAATGTATATGATTATAGTTTTTAGAACAATGTTAAAAAACTAGTGCCACGTCGACAATTAAAACCTTCATAGTTACTTGAACCAACTACTGCAACTAATGTCGCACAATTTCTCGCTTCGCATTTCTTGTTTAGTATTGAGCCCAACTATTATTTTAAATGTGATTCACGCGTGGCTGCCTGTTTAAAAAGTCTATTTAAAATTCCTTTACCTACCTATACTAGATAGAATACAGTATGTAGAGTAACCATTGCTGTTTAATTGCTATAATGTGACCGCGCTATGCCAGTCGTCTACGATAGTATGGCGCAGGTTCTGACGAGCGCGATGCCTTGTAGTGCTTACAAGTATGGGTGATATCGGCAGCCTAAAAGCGAATGCATATATAGCGGAACCACAGATATATATCTAGATATATGTCTGTGAGCATAGCGAACAAGACATGTGCGTAAGTTGAGTGGTTCAGTACCGTGAAGGTACCTAAGTTAAAAAATTCTATAGAAGATTCAACGGATTCTCTGTTACTTTTGTGACGATACTGACATCCTCCATCGTCATCCCACCTTTTTATCAACCTCTGTACTGGTTCCTGGCCACTTACTTTTAAAATTTTGAATCGTTCTCGAATTCCTTTGTCTTTCCCTATTCTTAGTACGTTGGTTGATTCGTTCCGTCGTCACTCCCATAATTCTGAAAACCAGAGGACGTGCTCATAAATCACTCTCAGGGAAAACTCAAACTGCACGTGTCATGCTGTGAAATCATACACAGATACGTATATTGACCCTTTTGGCCTTTTTCGTTTCTACTTGTAAATAAATTATGTGGACGAGCCTTTCCTTTCTTTTCGTTAAGGCTAGGCCACACTTTTAATAGCTTTCACTCCTACAAAGTACTCTACATAACACTAAATAGTACTTATATAATAATTTACTCGTGTCCTTCCAGTACGGGTAAAGGCACTACAACAACTTCTTTGGAAACAGAATTTGTATCGTGGCCAATGGTGCGATACAAACGAGAGGTGCTCTTTGGTTGGGTTGATTTATTAGGTGAGTTTATTTTTATAAAATATTACGTGACATCGCAGTCCTCATTATAATACGTATACTCACTGGATCTACTACACTGGTCTACTAACACTTTTGTTACGAAATAGTACATAGCATATTGAACTTTGTATTAATTGTGTAACGTATGTACAACAAACTAAATACGAGACGGTAGCTAACGAAAACCATTACAAAATTATTGAAACTGAAAAAATATTGAACGTCATCATCTACGAATCGTACTTCCGTTTCCAGTATCCTTTGGAGGCATCGCGGGTCTGTTCCTTGGATTCTCCTTGCTGTCGGGCGTGGAGCTGCTGTATTATTTCACTCTTCGCGCGTGTTGCGCGGCAGCTCGCGACGGCGACATGTTAAAGCGCGAGCGAGACGAGCGGTTGAGACAGCCCAAACCACCACATAACCTCAGTCTGGTGCCTTGGTAATTTAATAAATGTGTTATATACAGCACGGTTATCTGGCAAAAAGCCTGTCATCAGTATTTTTTTGATAAGAGGTCCCAGGAAAAGGAATCTGGTACAGGACCATGCAGTATGAACATCCTCGTGTTTCTTGGTTTGACTACGTAAAATTTTAAGCAGGGTTCAAATAGTCATTGTGCGTAGGCTCTTGGAGTGTGTTCGGATGGAACCAATTAGTGGTCAATTATTTGCACAGCGCACCCTTCATGGAGAATTGCATAAATGGAGTTACGTCAAACATGTTTATTGCTCCATTAGATTAGATACAGAAAAATATAACCCACATCCACTCCAATTCTGGTAACGCTATCTTAGTCGCTAAAGTTACAAGAATTGGAGAGGATGTGTTATTTTTTCTGTATCTAATGGAGCAATAGACGTTTTTGACGTAACTCCACTTAAGCCATTCTTCCATGAGGGGTGCGCAGGTTGATTTTGATACATTTATATGTTGGTTGGTTCCAATTCGTTTTGTCTGAGTCAAGAAATATGACGCTAAGATTTTATATACACATTTGGTTAGGTAGTGATCCAAATTGACAAATCAAAAGATTTGTCAGTTTGGATTCTATTAAGTTTTTTATATATATTGTTTTTCTAATGGGACTGACATGTTCAATAATGACCAAAGTTCCTGAGTAAATAAAGAAAAAAATAAAAAATTTATGTCTTGTCCTGTGTGTACAGTAGAAAACGCATCAAATGTGCAACCATTATAACTCAACCAATCTTGGAATTGATGAAATCTCAAAATCAATAATGCAAATTTTAAGGTGGAAGCAACCTCCAGCTCCGCGTGGGCCTCGACCGACGTTGGTTCGGGCCAAAGAGTCGCAGCCGCCACAGTACTCCCCACCTCCAGGATACAACACTTATTTACCATAATGAAAAATAGATCAAAATTATAATAACAATAAAACATTAGCTTTGGATCGAATAGCTTTTATTTCTGGTCACATCCATCTTATATGTCGCTATTAATAGAAATTCTATCGAACTACATTATCGTGGTTACCCGTGGATACGTAACAGTCAAGTTCGAAATATTCGAGAGTAACATTAAAATACCTAATAAACTTGTATATGCGAGTCCAAAATTTCTACAATAATGCAGTTCAATAAACGAACACTTCTGTTGAGATCTAAATATCTCTGATTACGGCAGTTTTACTAAACTAATTAAGGTACTGGATACAAGTAAAGCCTACTTAACATGTAAACGCTGACATTTCTATACATTAACGTGTACATAAATAGATTAATCATTCATAATGAAGAAAATATGCACAACTTATTCAAGCTAAATGTAGGCAAAGATTTTTTTACCTATTATTTGTTAATTTGAACCTATTATTAATAATAGGTAATTTTTTTTATAAAAAACCTTTTATACAATAATATGCAGGTTTTTGACACTCCTCTAAAATTACATGAAATTACTTAAGCGGAGTTGTTTGCTAAAATTGTAATTATATTTTTAAAGCTATTCCTTTAATCAGAGTTGTAGTTATATTTGTAACTTTATTTAAAAAAACTGCTTTATTTAAAAATACTTTACTAACTAAACTAAAAGAAATTAACAATAATATTTTCAAGTCATAAAAATATGTATATTTTATTTAGTTTTGCCTAAACCAAGAAGGTCTATTTGGTACTGTAAAAAATAGTAAATTTTTAATGAATCCATTAAAATTCCATTATATTTATTTTACTGAATATTATGATGTTTTTATTACTATCATATTTTATGATATTCATTTTTTTTGTGAAAAATGCTAGTTTCTTTTGTCTGATAGAATCTTTTCTTTTAACGATTGATGACATATAACCGCTGGTTGGGCACGGACGAGTGCAATAGCGTTCCCGTATGGCCACCTACAGCTGAGAGGAGAAATACTCCGGGGGTTTAGTGTGGTCGGGCTGCTCCCCTTCAGGGTTCACCCCAGTCCCACATAATCTCTGCTCTGCCTCCGCGGAGCCGGGGTATCGGTAAGCAAATTCCCCCGAGTGAAAAAAAAGAAAAGAAAAAGCCGAGTGGCGCGTCGCGGCAACGGCCGGCGAGTGCCAGAAGTCAATTTGCTTGCTTTTCCGAAAATGTTTTCAGGTCAAATTATATTATAATTAATACAATATTAGTATACAAATAGAAAATAGATAACACATGCACTCACAGCCCCGCAATAGGAAAACCCTGTATCGCGGGTGCCATGGACACACATAGACAACCACAAATTACATCCAAACTCACTCGATCTTTGTATCAATGAGAATTCAAATCTTCCAAATAATTCGCGATTACCTAACAAAAAGGTTCAGGTACAATCAACGCTAGTAATGAAATTATTGGCAATTTAAAAGTACACACCCCGAAAAATCCTTACCAACAACACGTCACAAACACAACGCAACTGCCGTAAGACCGCTTACACACCGTGTACCGGCATTAAACTGGTATATGTTAGTATTGTAAAATAATATAACCACGTAGAGAGCCTTGGCCTTTATTGTATCAAGTACCTTAATTTGTAAAAAAAAAATATTCAATAAAACAAAGCACCAAAACGTATTACTAAAATTAAAAATAGGAATGGAATTGCAGCCCTATAAAAATAATGTATTTGTATTGAATCAATAATTTCTAATTCACTCTAGAAATTAATGAGTTAAAGAGCCTCATTCTTCGACTATAATAACAATCACAACTATAAAAAGGGCAAAAATATTTTAGTATTCTTGCTACTTAAATTAGGATTTTGATTTCAGTATGGTACGCGTTTACAGGACGTATTTAATTTTTAACGTCAATTATCAAGTCAAAAATATTTTACATTAATTTAAAAAAAAATAGCAAGTTATAGCGTTATAAACTTTGGCATAATAATACCGAATTTTATTTAGATAACTAGTTTAAGAATATTATAATTATATAATTATGAGGGATATAAAATCAAGACCTTTTTATAATATTTTTAGCACATTTAACGAGGTACTTGTAATACTCTAGTGTTTTACATGCTGCAATGAAATCCGACTTATAAGGTTTAATATTACCTGCATCATCAAAGTCTCCAATTGCATTGCTATAAGACTACATAGATTTTGAGGAATGAGAAACACACTACGTTTGATTACATCAATCGAGTACATGAACTAGATACATTGATTTGATTATGTTAAACATTTATGTAATAGCCCTATGTTTCCACTTAAGTTACTGATATTTGATTTTGTGCACTTTTACCGTCTTTAACTACGTAATCATTTTAAAATAAATACATTATTACGTTTAATTTTAAAATAATCACCATTGCTACAATGTAATAGTCAAGTGCTTTCTAAAAACTTCCTAAATGTTCTCACACTGTAAACCAATGGAAAGCGTTTGCATCTACCTAGACTAAAATCACAAGCAGGGTACGCACACCCCAATAAGTACAGTTGTAAGCGAAGTACGTACTGGTCAATGCAAGCAAGTTTTCTAAATTAAAATCTGGTCCGCGAAATTGTATAATTGCTTAAATGCTAATAATCCAAAACCAAAAAACCAAACGAACGTTATTCGGACGAAAATTTTTGGTGCAGACCAGCGTTTTACCTACTAATCAATCTCATCTAACCTTAAATAAATTAACGAATCTAATTCTATTTACAATAATTTAAGTAGGATTACTTACTTATTTCATTTTAAGAGGTGCATTAAATATTTAATATTGGCTAATAGGTACATAAGAATAATTTATAAAAAATATAAATACAAAAATCTGTATAAATAAATTATTCAAAAGGTAACTGAGGTTAGGGAGGTTACGAAAAATGATTTTTTACTCCCTCTTTGCCATAATTTAACATATCCTACAAATATTGCCTTGCAACAGGATTGTTAATGGCTACGACCCAATGGCCGACAACGGAACTACTTTTAAAACAAAATAGCTCAGGAATCGCCGAGCGCTTCGCCCGTCCCGAGGTGTAGTTTTAAGTGTCCTTACACTTTATCACAAATATTTGACGACATAGCCGAAAGGTGCACATTTAAACCGTACAGAGAGGTGTGGCACAAGTATACATCTAACATTAGCACACTGAAGATATGAGTGCTTTTTAAGACGACTTTAGTACAATAATAAGAGACATTTTATACATTAAGAACATTATAAGTAAGTACTATAGAGATCCGAGTATCTGATCGATACACCTTGTGTATCCTTTTTGATCCACGACACTGGCCGTATACAAAAGTTATTAAGTTCGTTTTATTGACACTTTCTAAATTCGACATTCGAAATGTACAGCTTTAAAGTAACGTGTTATAATAATCGAGTACAAATTATCTATTCATAAATTGTCTATTCAGTTGAATAGACAATTAAACAAGACACTAATCAATAATAAACATGTTATCTGGAAAGATAATTAAGCTCTGCTACCACTATGATACCCCCTATATAGTACGGTCAATAAGTTATCATTATCAGTGACACTCGTCATAACCAGCATCAAATCGGAAAAGATATCAAAACAGGCTGCCCTAAACTGTGAATCTTTAAGATCAAAATCTTAGGTTTACGCTATATTTATATGCACGAGTAACACTTGAATTAACAGCGGCTGACAGTTACGATTTTTTTGTCGGTGTTTTGTAGAAAAGGCGAAAGCGCCATTTCGAACAATTTTTCAGGGGAACACGTTTTAGGTTTTAACGAAGTCCTTTTTTAAAATTCAGTTTTGGTTTTAAGTTTAAGTTTTAAAATTGTAAATGCAATCAAAGAGGACGTCAACATTTGAAAACGGTAGTGAGAAACTAAAACATGCTCCCGTAAAAAATTTTTCGAAATGGCGCTTTCACCCTTTCTACAAAACACTGACGATTTAGGTCGTTTTACATAGGCGTCAATTGTGTAATATTACTGTTTTAATTCTAAAAGTTATGCCTACGATAAGATCTCAAAGAAATACCTTGTACCCCACTGGCGTAACACTTTGTGGGGGCCCCGCATATTTGTTTAGACTGTGATCTTAAAAATGTTAAGTATGACGTTGTTTTAATTGCGCTGTTTAAAAACTGTACAAAACCTTAGGTGCATACTATAGATCAAGGTCCCCTCAGGTAGGGGGCCATCAACATTAGGTCAGTCCTGCCACACATTTGTTACGTCACTGTTATACACTCACGTCACGGCGACAATTAAAAGCGAATGATCGAAGTTGCGTCAGCAGACGTGAGCGGGCGAACGTGGTGGCCACAGTGGACAAGCGTCGGGCTTCGGCTCCTCCTTGTCTTTGCAACGGCGCCGAATCATAGCAAACAGCGCGCTGAACTTTGCCGTGTCCGATAGAGTTGCCTGATAACAAAAAATGTTTCTTTTTCTTTTCAGGGTCGAACAAATAATTTCCCAGCCTATACATTAACAAAAGTGAATAGAAAGGCAAAGAATTTGATCAACATTCATACCAGACTAAGGCTGCTTTAACGAGAGTCCAACGAAAAATAGGTTAATAAGTTTTCGCAGTCTGATTTCGTAAAAGTTAATCTAAATATAAAGAATGTATTTATTGAACATAAAACGGTACCAAGACGGCCTTAATGCCATCAGGCATTCTTTACCAGTCAACCGGGGAGCTAGGTTCAGAATAAGTAACCAGTGGTGCATAATATGACAAGCTAAGACTAAAACAGATAGGATCAAAATTTGTAAATAATTACATTTTCGCTTTAATAAATAAAAATTATAAATGCATTTTTTTACCTCAATGCCTAAAGAGAGAATCAGATGCAGTACAGGAATCAGGAGCACGTAGAGGCGGAATATACACTTGGCTTGGTCGGTGTAATCTACCATTTGCAATTGCATTACACCACAGAGCCATTTCCATGGCACTAGCAGAAGCACGAAAAGCACTATCGACTGCGTCACCAAACTCGCTACCATGTAGTCTAAAGAAGAGAACAAAAATGTCAATCATTTTAACGAAGTGGTTGCGCTTTTACAAATTAACGCAAAATTAATACCATACTTAAAATTTAACTAGTCTGCAGTAAAATGGAAACCACATTTTATCCCTGAGGGCCTACTATGGGTTTATAAGGAACCAGTTAGGTTTGTAGTGAAGTTTAAGTGGTAAAAAAGTAAAAAGTGGTTGTTTAAATTGGTATCATGACTTGGTACTTGGTGCAACGGGCTGGGATACGGCAAGTCGACGACAAAGCGCCTATTTTGCGTGTTGGTATCATGACTTACTCAAAGTCAAACGTTGACTGCACAGTCAGATTTTTTTTAAATACCAAGTGACGGGACGAACAAGACGTGCGCCAGGTGGCAAGCGACACACCTGTCCATAACAGTTGCAGTACCATTAAGTGCTATAAATCACAAAGATCTGTGAGGCACTGCTACTGCGCCCGTCACCCTGAGACACGAGTTGACAAGTCCTATGTGCCCGTAATTTTATCAGCACCCTTACCTTCGATACGGAAACGCTGTAATGCTCACATTACTGCTTGGCGGCAGAAATACGTAGTGGCAAGAGTTCCCTGGACGAACTAATTTACAAGGAGTAGAGCTCTATTTTTACCTCAGTAATCATTCAGACATATTTTTTTTTCTGGCCTGCCAATGCTGTCAACTAAAGAGCGATATGGAACTACACAATGAATCTTATGAAAAAAAGATAGCTGTACTAACCCGGGAGCGTTCAAGAAGTGTAAACCGATTGTGTCCGAAAAGGGAAATATTATGTTTTTTAATATAATTTTATCATTGATATACAAAATACGTTATTTCATAACATTGGCAATTTTTCAATCATACTTTACAAATTGTCGTAAGACAAAATTAAATGTATATCCTTACCACATGATTGTGACGAGTTTGCAATATTATAACAAAACAGGAACGCATGTCGTATTTTTACATTTTTAATGAATATTATAAATATTAATAAAGTCAAAGTATATAAGATCATTAGTTAAAGTCAAATTTGGTGCTATTAAAAAAATTCTTTACGATCTACATCGAGCCAATACAATAAAAAAAAAAGAAATAAAAAACGGAAAATGTCATCACGATATCTTGTAAAAACTATGCCAAAAACGGCCATTTAAAAAAATAATTATTGGCTTTAGTCGCCGAGTGCCTTTTTTAGAGTTGATATTTGAGACCTTCAATTGCAAGTCAAATGGCATGCCAGAATAGATTTTACTATAAGAAGAAAAAAAAAGCTTTTGAATTTTCAACAAACTGCATGGAAACTGCCTTGTTTTCGTGAGGTCATAGTAAGAATATGAAGTGCTAGTGTAAGAATTCAACTTACACGCAGGTTGCTATAAGAACGCGTTGTAGGCCCTCTGGTCCAAGCCTATGTGAGTCTTCAGCCGGGTCTGTGGTACTTTTATTTAACAAAGTCCCAAGACACCACGATATAATAATTATTACAAAGCATTGTAACAATCAGTTAGAGGATTGCAAAGTGCCGTGGGCTCTTTGTCTCTCATACATAATACGCAATGTTCTAAAGATACAAATTTATATTAAAGAACCTTTACTCACAGTTGGAACAAAAAGGTTGCCGGAAGGGCCACCCTTTAGCGTAGACGCCACCCATGATGAGGTACTGGAATGCCGAGACGATAAAGATCACCGTGTTTTCCCAACTGCCAATTAATTCTTCGTTTTTGTCTTCTATTTCTTCGAATCTAAAAAAAAACGACACCTAATGGTAAGTTCTATATTAACTATTGATAAAGAAGGATAGCGAAAGCTGACCCAAAATCAACAAAGTGCCGTTCATGGACTTTGCTAGTATAATTTTACGTTTTAATTTCTGCCTAATTATTAATATGTTTTTGTATATTTTTAGAAGTCGGGAATAAAGATATTGCAAAACAATGTATTTTAAAATAGAATGCAAGAACACAACGCAATTGATTCAGTTCGACCATAGATTAGCTAACCTTCTTGTATGTACGTTTCATTTTAAGCATGATTGAATGTTTACCTACCTAAACTATCGGTTATTTTATAGTACACACATAAAACATTAAAGCTATAAAACACATATAAAGTAAAAAATAAAACACATGTGACAAAAATGTTTAGACAACATTGAAATGATACGAAAGTTAGCAAAGGAACGTTTTGACAAGAGACCTCTCGCCAATGTTAATGTCACATTGAGATCGAGAACAGTGTGACCATTTGTGGCAGATTTCTGCCATTTGGGCAGATTTAATTTTGATTCTGTTTAATTGCGACAGAACATGTTAACGTTGTATTAAATGTGGCAGAGTTTGGCAGATTCACGAATATTCAGCAAGTTGTTTAATTTTTAGCAACAAACTGAAAACTTATAGTTTTCTGCTACTACAAACAAAACATCTGAAGCGAAATACAGGACAATGCTATAAACATAATTTATATCAAATTTATTATCCCAGCTTCTACAGGCTTGTGCCCCATTAGGTTTTTTGATGCTTTGATAATGAATCACAAATAATGATAGGTCTCTTTAATGCACGTCGTCAAAAACTCTGGGTCACAAAATACACGGGATGTTGCCATCCTTCTTTATTACTGGTACAGCAATAGGTGCAAAATACCCAAAACAAAACGTTTCCAAAATAACTCGTAAGTTACGTGTGGAAAATTTTTTAATCATATACCAGACCGGTTTAAGCTTCTTCCATTGACTAGTTTCAAAAAAAAAATGCGAAGGTGGCTCTTTGATGATTTGTTCTACTCAGTTGGCGAATTCATGTAATATAAAGGCTAATTAATTAATTAATGTATACATTTATCTTTACAATTATTATTATTTACTTTAAATTATGTCTATGTCATACACACGATTAAGACATGTCGTATTAAATCAATTAACTTTAATTAGCAATTTATTGTTTTTACATTTAGTCTTAACCTATCAGTGTATTATTTGATTATTGTATTTGCATGCTTTTATTGAAGAAGGCCGAATAGGTTTAAGTGCTGGTTTAATTTTTACCCTACCCTATTTGAAGTGAATAAATGAATATAAAATAATATTATTATAAATTATAAGTAATTTAAATTCATGATATTTCGTAGTGAAAGTGTTCATCCAGGGATGGCACTACCTATTTCCGCCAAGCGTTCTGGTTTTGAAGGGTAAGGGTGCTCGTGAAATTACAGGCACATGGGACTTTTCAACTTATGTCTCAGGGTGATGGACGTAGAGGCAGTGCACCTCAGATCTTTGCGATTTATAGCTCTGAGTGGCACTGCAACTATTATGGACAGGCGTGTCGTTTATCATCAGGCGCACGACTTGTTCGTCCTATCACCTAGCATCATAGAAAAAAACATTAATTTGATTTTTATTTGTAAAGTTCAGTTTATAGTCACGTGTACTTACTTGTACCAATGTTGCGCCTTGAGTAGATACAAAGCGGCTAGCTGCAGCAGTAGTACCAGCAAGACTTGGAGGAAGAGTGGTAAGATGCTTGAAATCGCCACAAGGGACACCGGCGGTGATTGCTTGGTCAGTACGGGGCCCGGCTGGGCACGGCCCAGCGATAGCGCCAATAGGAACGTCAGAATCAGATCGATATATAGGAACTGGTAGTTCCCTAGGATAGAGTAGTACTGCAAAAAATAATAATATTACTTGGAGACGGCTATAATGCTTATAAACAATTTGATGATGATTTAGAAAGTTACGGTAATAGTCTAAAATCGCAATTATTTATTTGGCGAACGTCCCTATGCTTTTTTTATAATACTAAGTGACGGGACGAACAGTTGCAGTGCCACTCAGACCTTTAAATCACAAAGACCCGAGGGATACTGCAACAGCGCCCGACACCTTCAGACATAAGTTGACATGTCCCACGTGCCTGCAATTTCACCAGCACCCTTATTCTTCAAAACCGGATATGTAAGGATTTGTTATATAGTGCACGTCAATTAATTGTATGAACGTACATAATATAATGTAATTATGATCTACTAACTGTTGCTGGTAGCATCGTGTGACGATATTCCGATTACCCAGTATTGGTGGCGCCTGTTTGTTCTCTCGCTAAATACATTTCATTTACTGTCACGATTTTGTCATCTGCCCTGGTGCGCACTGTACCTCACAGTAAATCACCGATTGTTCGCTCTCTGCACTTTCTTAATGCGCTTTTCGTGTCTTACCCTTCGCACCCTTACTCTTCGAAACCGGAACGCAGTAAAACTTACATTACTGCATGGCGGCAGAAATAGGTAAGGGGACAGTATTTCCCTGGATCAATTCTTACACAAGGAACTCTACTGCTACTGAGGAGGCCCCAGAAACCTGAACCACTGCGACCCAGACGGGTTTACAGCAAGTGCGTATACTGCCACCTTATCTATTTCTGCCGTCAAGCAGTAATGTAAGCATTACCGTGTTTCGGTTTAGAGGGTTAGGGTGCTGGTGAAATTACAGGCACATGAGACTTGTCAACTTATGTCTCAGAGTGACAGACGCAGTGGTAGTGCCCTTCGGATCTTTGCGATTTAAGGCTGTGTCCGGCACTGCAACTCTTATGTACAGGCGTGTTGCTTACCGCCAGGCGCACGATTTGTTCGTCCCATCATTTGCTATCACAAAAAACGTATAAATGAACAAATGAAATGAAGAATGAAGAAAGTATTTCCCTAAAACATAGGTTCAATGTTTTTATCTAGTTTGGCATAAAAATTTACTGTTTAATTATAAATGTGATTATGCTGTTTTTCCTGGTCTAATTTTAAAAGTCATTGGCGTAGTTCAGTGAAATGCTAAATGCAATCGCAACCCATTCCCAGTGTTTGAATTTGTGTAATTGAACGATGATATATACTGGGTTTAGCAATCCACTCTGCACTTTCGACTGCTATACAAAACAGACAGTTAGCGGTTAGGTGCTATTATGTGATGATTGATGATATATGATGTTGATGATTATTATATAAAATTACTTACGTTGTAGAGAATGAGAATGGAGAAAAACTGTATGAAGGAGTAGAGAGCCATGTATTTAAAGATGGCGAATGAGGTGCTGAGTGCACAACGGCCCTCCAGAGCGAGCAGCTTCACGCATCGGATGTTCTGCTCTTGCGATGTGAACGGTGCCGCCACTGTTTGTAAAACATGTTCCCATAAAAATAATGTAATGGTGAAAATAAATATAATAAGAATAAATGTCGTAATCCTTGTGAGATCTCAATGATTTAATCTTAGGCAAACTTGCAAACAAACAATACAACTTGCGTACTTAGTCTCTTGATATAGAAGCAGTAGCCATGTAAATTAATAGCTGCATTATATTCAAATTCAAATCATTTATTGCGGAATATTACATCCACATTATTATACAAAATTCCGAAATCATAAAGCGCACACATACATTACATTAGATAATTAAATAAATTCAAATTCAAATAAAATAAATTAAGTTAAATACAAATGAAAAGAAATCAATAAAGAACAATAAAATAAAAACAAACACTAGACTCAATTAAATAATAATAATGTATCATGCACTATGCTTTCTTATATGTAGGTTCATCTATCTTTCACCCACTATGGCTAGGATGCACACACACACGTCGCCACAGGGAAGCTACTCTTTTTCTAATGACGGCATGAAAGCCATCAGTGCGCGCCTCAGTGAACATACCTGATGCGCTACAATGCCGCGGCAGTCGCATCAACATCCTAAACGCATTATTATACTGCACCCTCAGTGTTTATGGTTGCCTTACTATACTTCACCCAAAGGCTACACTTACGCTTTAAAAAGCGTTAATTTGACCTCTTTACTACAACGTGTAAACCTCCGGCCAAGCACGTTTGCTCTTACCGCGAGGGCTCTCCGCTCTCTTTCAATGTCCACAAGATCGGACTGATCGTCAGTCACCCAGTGACCGAGGTATTTAAATACTCTTACGAGCACACAGCCACAGAGGGAGACCGGCGGTACAACGCCCACTACTCCACCCCGAGGCTTAAATACTAGGAGCTCAATTTTTTTAACATTAGGACCTGAGTCCCTGAGCTACAGCATAGTTCTCACAAATACCAAGTAACTCTCTGAGGGCACAAATTGAATTATGACGATGTTAGAGTAAGTAAGTAAATTGTAATTCAATTCACTTCATAAGTGTCGTTCCGACTTTGACAAATTCGATTGTAAATACGATAAGTAAATAATCATATTTACTTATCAATTTCACAAATCGGTAAAGAAATATTATAATTATTTATGAACTTCGATCATATCTGTTTTTAATCTTAGCATGTTATGCACCACTCGTTAACTATTCTGAGCTCAGCTCTTCAGTTCACTATTAGAAAATTCCTAATGGCATTTACATTTGTCTGGCGTGTCGTGTCATACGACACAACATCGACATAAGTCCACCATTCGTACTGTTTTGTGTGCAATAAGGTTTAAATAAATAAAAAACTCGAAACCTTCATCTGTATTGACCTGAATAGGGCCTCAAATTTACCTGAAGCGTCAGCCTCTGAGAGCGAGATACCGACGTGCGCAGCCTTAAGCGCGCCACAGTCGTTGGCGCCGTCGCCGCACATGCCTACGATCAGGCCCTCGTCCTGCAACGCCGTGATCAACTGCGTCTTTTGGTCCGGGCCAAAGCGGCCGAAGATCATACCTGCGACGCAATTCTCACTTACATTCAACCCAGTAACAAACCTGTCTCACTCAACTGTTCACATAACAAGTACATACATAGATAGATAGATATTACACTTCATTGCTCGCACAGAAGAACAGAAACAGTACATAAACAGCTTAAAAATAATGTGGGCAAAGGCAGCCTTATCGCTAAGAGCGATATCTACCAGGCAACCACTGAGATAGAGGAAAGCTAATTGTACAACCAGGTTACATCACGCATAAGTGCTCGTATGGCTGGCTATAAGGAATACGTAGTCATTTACCTTTGGTAAGTACTGTAGGCATAAGTTCTGGGTATTGAGCGCGCATGACTGACCAGGTCTTTCCTTCCATGGCTATCACATAATTGTCCATAGACATCTTTGGAGATCCAGTTTCACCGACCACCTAAAACAGTCAAATCAACGTAAATACAAAGCAACTACACATAATTTGAAATCTCTCTCTCTCTCTCTCTCTCTCTCTCTCTCTCTCTCT